CCAAAGCCTGGTTTCTTGTGGCTTTAGTCCGAAAAAGGCCCTCAACTTGTGGCCACTAAAACTGGCATGACGATGAACATTTGTGGATTTAGGGTCTCCGATTTTCGACCACTGAATTTCAAGTTGTTTTTCTGGGACATTGACAGGACATTCATGGAAATCTTCCTTTTCACCAGTGAAGATGATTCCTTCCCGACCTTCGGCTTCAAATAATGCACTCAACATACCCAACCTATCAATCCATTCCAAAAAATACTTCCCAAAATTGCAAGTCATATATATATATATGTATATATACCTATTTTCATATATCATATATCTATATAGATATTCACATTATGTCTTATTGTAGAAAATACATTGTGTATTATATTGTATGATTGTGCGCAATATTTGATGAAACCATTCAACCCCCGCAGTCCCACTGGGTCACTACCCTCTGGCAAACGTTTACATAGTTATTGAAAATGGCCCAGTCGAAATAGTTGATTTACCCAGCTATAAAATGGTGGATCTTTCCATAGTTATGTTAGTTTACCAGAGGGTAAGCCCAACCCCAACCCCGACTCTGGGTCCATCTGACCACTTTGACTCAGCACCAACGCATGGACGTCGAAGGTCAAGGTCCACCAGTCCGCCCAGGTTTGAAGCAAGCCGCGCACCTCAATGGCAAATGCCTTGGGCAACCCGGGGGATGGTTGGAATCCCACCAAAAATGGTGATGAATTGGGGATGACTTTTGAAATTGGGTTTAACTACCACATTCTGATGATTCATTGATGGTTCATTGATGATTCATGGTGAGAAAAGTGTAGAAAAGTAGCATTGCAGCCAGTGCTGCGTGTTGCGACTGTCTTTTTGAGTTGCGGAGTCCTCTCATCTGCAACTCTTTGCCGTGGCTCTCAGATTTCCAGGACAATATTTGCCAAACACCGCTGCTCCCAAAGAACACAAATCATACTCAAATCACAAGCAAACACAGTGACTAGCTCAGTGTGCAAATGCAATTATAAAGAGTCTATGCAAAGACCCAGTAAATGCAATTTTTTGAGACACCGACCAACAAAAAGACACTAATTGAAAACCTGTCACCCTGCGAAACCATCACCCACACAACGTGCTTTGACCACAAACCATAATATAAAATATATACTGGTTGGTGGTTTCAACCCCTCTGAAAAATGATGGAGTTCGTCAGTTGGGATGATGAAATTCCCAATACGTTAATACGGAAAAAAACTCAACATGTTCCAGTCACCACCAAGCAGTTATGAATCCAGTTGGTGAATATACCCTCTGGTAAACTAACATAACTATGGAAAATCATCATTTTCAATGGGAAAATCCATTATAAATGGTCATTTTCAATAGCTATGTCAGCCATTACCAGAGGGTATATCAGTCAATTAATCAAAATCCTTCAGAATATCCCAAGGCTGAGAAGCCCGAACCGTCAGGGTGGGAGGTGAACGGTCCTGGGTTTTGGGTAAGCGCCACAAAGAGATTCGAAAAGATTGGAACATAAAATTCATTTACAGATACAGATGTTACATCAGTTATATCAGAGTACTAAGGGCCACAATTTCTACACTAGGATTTTACTATCTATCGTTTTGGGAAGGTGATATGTACTCTAAGTTATATCCCAATCACTCTGACCAATTGAGAGGGTGGTGGCTCCCTTTCAGCCCACTCGACGATACTGACGATAATTCTATGTCGGATCCCCAGGCCACCGACAGACATGAAAAGATCGAACAAGTTTCTCCCAAGCATTTCGTCCCATTTAGGTCCAATGCCTACGGTTTTATCATGTTTCATTGCATCTTTGCAAGGTTGTCGTTGGTGCGACTAATCCTCGATCCTTTGAAGGGCTACAGTATACCCTGCAAGGTCGTACTTGAAGCTGGGTCCAAACTCTTCTCTTTGCCCTGGTGACAACCCTGCCTGATGGATCCATCGTCTCTTCCAATTATTCGGTTTGGCAATCAAACTAAAAAATACAAGATAACAAAACCGCAAAACCCAGATCAACACCTCTGCTTGGCATTTAAGCAGGACTCCATCCAACAACAAGTCAACAAAGTGGGTATCCATATACCAATAAGCGGAATCCAATCCATGTTTCATCATGTTTCCTTTCAACATCAATAATTGGAAGCTACCATCCCCACCCAAGAACCATCAATGTCATCAAGAACCTGAAGTGAAAAACTGTCTATATATACATATATTATATATACATATATTATATATACATATATTATATATACATATATTATATAAACATATATTATATAAACATATATTATATATACATATATTATATATACATATATTATATAAACTGAAATGGAACCTGCAAACGCATGGAGCCCCAAATTTGATGATTTTCCTGCCCAGGCGCCAGGTGTACGAGGCCAATGTTCTCTGGTAAGACCTGGGATCATGGGATCTCCAGGATCTGTCGTTGTGCTGTGCTGTGATGGTTGAAGTCTCCTCTGCAACATTCACAAATGGGGATGGGTCAAAACCCTGTACCCCTGGTGAACCTCAAAATAGCTGGGATTTATGGATGTGAATAACCCACTAAAAATGGTATTAATAGGTATTGACCCATACCCAAATCACATCATTAAGAAATTTAAGACCCTGAAAAACAGCTATTTGGATGTTCACCAGGGATCACCAGGGTGTGTTTGAATCGATCGCGGTATGTAAGTGCTATGGGTCAGACCCAAACTTCAGCAACATAAGACACAGCAAAAGCTAGAAACGGGCAACATCTGAACATGCGGCTTCCATAGAGATGGAACAACTACTCATTGAACTGCAAGCACTGCAAGTGATGCGAAATCTGACTGCCATCCCTTCATCTCCACTGATTTCTGGTTTGGGCAGCTTGAACACTTGGCTTCTCACAAGTTTTCCTTGATCTTTCAGCTCCTGATAGGCTCAACTCATTCACTCTGGCGGATGCGTTTTGAATGGAGACATCTACAACAAGCATTTGATGCACAAGACCAACAGTGTGAAGCAACGGCTAGCATCCGTGCCCCAAACATGCCTGGCTTTGGAGGATCATCGCTGGGTTCAAAACTGGCCAAGAACCTTTGTTCAGAAGTCCCCATTTAGAATCATCAAATATTCATATGCAATTATGGTATCAATTATGTATAATTTCTAACTATGCATTACTACCTCTAGCATTTATATAGTAACCGACATGTAACCCCCATACTAACCAGCTACTGAATTTTGATTCTAGTACTATTACCAACCAGCAGCCAGTTACAGTCACCAATTTTTGCAGTGCTAACCCATTTTTTCCATGGTCCTCCCAGGAATTAAGCCGTTTTCGTCCCATCCTGAACCCTGGGCAGTTCCGAGACTTTGTCGGTGTCTGCAAAGAGCAGGAAGGTGGCGTTCCAACCTGTGCGAGAAACCGGTTGGCCACCAATGGGATGGTGCGCTGGTGGGGGTCATGGTATGTATATAACATTATATAACAAAGTGAGAGTAAATCATGGTACATCACAGTGGAGAAGGGTGAATAGATGGAATAGATGTTAAATAGCTAAATATAGCTAAATAGACCATACACCTGCGGTTTGAAAGGATCTTATGATATCTTGTGGTTGTTTAGAGATCTCACTTTCAAATTCTTTGAATCCCTGGCAAACTGTATCAGCGTCAGTCTGGGCCACTTACTTCCTCAGGGAAGGACCCGTGCTCACGCAGGGACCCGAAAGAATCATTGTGAATTTCTGAGTTCATACTTCATACTTACACTATCTAATTGGTGGTTTCCTGAAAAATATGAAAGTCAGATTGGATCATCATCCCAACTATTGGGGAACAAAAAAAATGTTCCAAACCATCAGCCAGCTATTTAAATCCTTTATGCTATTTAAATACAATTTCCCAACAGCCTTGAGGGTGTTTCAAGCTTGGATGGCAATCTCACTTCCCATCCCAGATAATCAATGTAGTCAAACAATCAATGTCAAACCCGAAGGAGGCAATTTTTGATAATCTTTGATGGGTTTTCCCAACATACCAATATAATTCAACATCTCATCTCTTTAAGAGATGAGATGTTGAATGTTATTAAATTTATGTTGTCCGGTGTCCAGAGCTGGAATCATGCCCAAATCCCAAGGCCCACTCCTTGAGTTTTCTCCAACTGCTGTGCGCAATCTAGGAAATGCTCCTGACGAGAGGCTGGAGATGGCTCAAACATGTTCAAGTTCCCAGCTCAGCTTTTGACCTGAAAACCATGACACAGATCCTGATGCACATGATTGCTATCATCATTCATCATGTTCATTTACAATCTGGTCATTTAACATAGCCATGGAAAATGGTCCATTTATAGATGGTTTACCTATTAAAAATGGTCATTTTCCATGGCTGTGTCAAATTACCAGAGGGTACATCAACCAACCATCATAAACAGACAAAAAAAAAACGCAAAATGGATCTATCCTCTGGTAAGGAGTCACATGGCTTGCTGGAAAATCACTTCGATGATGTTCGATGACTTTCCCATTCAATGCCCCAGCGTCCAGCTGCTCCAAAGCATGGCGTGGTGGATCCTGGCGGCCGAAGGGGAAGCTGGGTATGGCCAGAAACTGGAAAAAAGGAAAGAATGTGGAATGATTTTGGATAGTTGGATAGTTGGATAGTTGGAACTATGGTTTTGGATGCTCTGGATGATTTTTAGATTCCATTCCAAGATATTCCAAGATATTCCAAGATATTCCAAGCATGATCTGGACGTTTGTGGCTGAAAGAATAAGGTCGAAGGATTTCCCTACCATAAATAAATCAACCAACTATCCAACGTCATTGATGGCCCAAGGGGGATTTCCTACAGGGGTGGTTCTAGTTAAAAGCAGGCCCTGGCAGAAACCAACAAAAACCTGCAGAATACTTCAAGTTTGTTGCAGTAAGCTGACAGCAGCCTCCCTTTTTTTAATCCTTTTTCTGGCTGTCAGACCAAGACTGCAGCCATCTGCTGCACATGCAACGAGCTTCAGCTGAATTCTTTGGGTTGCCCAACTTAAAGCATCCCCAATAACAAGAAATAGTCATAAGCTTCCTTGAGGACTGTGCAGCACTGTGCAGTGAAATATTGATTCCGTCTTAAGATCAGCACCAGCTCGCGTTTATCACAAGCAACTTCAAAGGGCCATCAATAAGCCATACTCTCCTCGAGAAGATTCCCCAATCTGGGCCACACCTTCCAGTGATTTGGCATCTGATCCCCTGCACGGAAATGCAGACCTCGAGTTGCCGCTTCTGTGACTCTAGTGTTGCTATGACCATGAAGAATCAAAGGAAACCTTGGGAAATCTATTGAGTCCTCAAGTTGGCAATCACTATCAATCACCCTCAACGGACATTTTGTTGTCTGCCTTCTTGATAAAAACAACATCATGAGATAATAATGAGTTGTGAAAACGAACAAGCTGGTAATGGTGAAGTGCAGAGTTGAAGGAGCTGATGGAATCACACGGAATTGGTTTATCCAAAACATTTTCCCCTTCTCAGAATTGCAGGAGGTCCATGTTGCAGGTTGACGTTTAAGTGCCACCTGGGAAAGAAACTACATGTTCAACTTCCACTAAATAGTTTTGGTACGTGTTGGTTGCCAACCCAACAACAATTGGATTGAAACCACCGTCCATGTTAATTAAGTCAAAGTTTCGAACTTTCGCCGCAATATCAAGTCATTACATGTATTACAAGTATGACATAATTTCCATAATGAACATGAAACAACACATGTATATATATATACATATCATCATGTCACAATTTCAAGCAAGTACACATGGGTGATCATAATGTGGAAACATCATGAAACATCCACTCAGGATACTTCAACCATCCTAAACCATTGACCGTCATTGACCCAACAGTTCTGGCCGCAACTGGGCCGTAACTGGGCATCGCAACCAATTCGCTGACCCCTCGGCAAGTCGCGCTGCCGTAAGCGTGAGGCAAGGGCCGGCGACCTCAGGCCAGGCCAGGCTGAGTAGATTTGTGTAGATCTGATCGTTTGACGGCTATAGTTATAGTTATTACGAATTTCCATGTTTAATGATGTTTAATGATGTTTAATGATGCTTAATGATGCTTAATGATGCTTACTGATGCTTAATGATGCTTAATGATGCTTAATGATGTTTAATGATGCTCAATGATGCTCAATGATGCTTAATGATGCTTAATGATGCTTAATGATGCTTAATGATGCTTAATGATGCTTAATGATGTTTAATGATGTTTAATGATGTTTAATGATGTTTAATGATGTTTAATGATGTTTAATGATGTTTAATGATGTTTAATGATGTTTAATGATGCTTAATGATGCTTAATGATGCTTAATGATGCTTAATGATGCTTAATGATGCTTAATGATGCTTAATGATGCTTAATGATGCTTACTGATGCTTAATGATGCTTAATGATGCTTAATGATGTTTAATGATGTTTAATGATGTTTAATGATGTTTAATGATGTTTAATGATGTTTAATGATGTTTAATGATGTTTAATGATGCTTAATGATGTTTAATGATGTTTAATGATGTTTAATGATGTTTAATGATGTTTAATGATGTTTAATGACATAAGATTCAGAGAGATGTTCATAAGTGTTAGACAAATGATCGAAACTATTTTTGCGACTACTATAGCAATGGAGAAGTGAATGGAAGTGGTATAAAGATGATTAAAGATGTGTAAACTGTGGTGCCAGAAGATACCAGAAGCATCATTGGTCGGTGGTTGCCCTTCCCACACCTGGATGTGTTCGCCATCCCGACATCCAGAGTCCCAGTTGCGGCTCAAAGAGCATCTGGAAGAGATGCTGATGAAGTCGTGGTTGCCACAAGCCTGCACCGAACATATCGAACATATCGAACATGGGGATGCCAACACATCAAGCAACAACATTTCAGGTGATGAATTCGGAACATGAATGAAACAGGCGTTGGTAAATCACCAAACTATGCCCATTGCAGAGATACTCTCCAACAAATACCCAAAAAATCAAGTGATGTTAAAAAAATCCAGAACTGGATATCTACATCCAAACCATCTAAAACCCCAGTGGTGCAAAACACCTATTTTTTAAATGAACAGATTGGCAGATTGGCAGTCTCCGAATGTCGGCTGTCTCCGAGGCATCGACCCAAGGCCGCTGCTCGTTGCCCGTAGCTCTTCAATGCCGCCACGGTGAGTCCTGCTGAAAGCCAATTAGCCAACCTTTAAGCAGCACCTGCTGAAATCTCTTATGACAATTGGTATATCTTGAACTATAATATATATATATAATATATGTATATGTATGATCATGAAAGTGGTAATATCATGGGGTATACGGTTTATAATGTTGCATGGTCTTTGTTCAAGCCCAGCCCGAGTCCAAAATCCGGTTACACGGAAACATCTGCAATGCTTTCCGGAGCCGGGAATCTGCAGCTCAACACCCTTTGAAATCTGGTTGATGCATCCAACACACAGGCCAACACATCAAGCATGCCTAGAGCATCTATCCTTGGAGAAAAATCATGAAAAATCTCATCCCACACCTTTTCAGATATCATCAGAAATCCTATGATATCCTTTGATTCATCCTCTGATTCATGGTGCTGGTTCCTCCTGATTCATTGTCGCCGGCTGAACAATCCCACTATGGGGCCCGACGTTGATTGGACACCAGCCGCAGGACATCTTCTTGGCTATCAAGCACCTGAGCCGGCCTTGCTAGCTATGGATTTGTGTATGGGTGAAAGTTGAAGGCCCAAAATTTGGCGTTGTATGGATATATCCATAATAATAAACAAATATGAATCATATATGTATATATATATATATATATGTAAATAAATATATATATATATATAATACTGTTTCTATCTGACTATATAATTAATATCTACCTTTTTTCTTCTGTGTTTTGTCATTATCCCCATTTTCGCTGGTTGAATTCCATGTATTTCTTGTTGGTGCACCTCTGCCAATGATTTGACTCATTTCCCAAGGCACCAATCGTGGATCAGCCTCAAAGGCTGCCAAGTTGTCGTTGAAGTTGAAGCCTGCCTGAGTGGAAATCACGAAAAAGGCCAAAATTGATTGGTGTGGCAGGTCCAACTTCCAATGCCTGAAATTTTGAGTTACATGTCCAACCATCCAAACATGTCCAAAGCGCATTATGGAAAGTCGCAACTGAAAACTGCGTAAAGTCTGGCAGCTCATGATAATCCAAGATGTCCGAAGCCCAGAATCTCGGATGTGCATCCCAGGAATCGTACATCCACTGGGTGAACTAACCATAGAGGATGGTGCCCCCCAGTTATAAGTTGGTTTATAAACCCCATTAACTATAGTTATATCTGCCATAAACCATAGTTATGGGAGTTATAAACCAACTTAGCTAACTATGGGGCACCACCTTGTAGGGGGGTTGCCCCAATACTATTGATTCTCCCGTGAAGAATGACCAATTCTGGCAGTGACGTGGACTCGACCCCCATCTTCCGCCAAAGCACCGGCAGCACGGCATGGGAGCCGTACATGCGCCAGTCGGGCCCCTCCTTTCGGGGCTGCAAGACCTGAATCGACAACGAATCGACAACGACCATATCATCCTCTGGGCTTCCTGGCAAGTGCTGATTATCTGCTACTAAAAGGTCGCGCCGCCCTTCGGCAACTGGTGTGTTTTGGCGCCTTTTGTTCTTTGCGCCCTGTGCTCTTTTGTTCTTGCACCATTATCAGCGAGCGTTGCAAGATATTTTTTTTGTAAAAGAAAGGTGAAGACCCTAACATTCCCCGACAAGTTAATTTAATTAAGTTGTCTAAACATAAGTATATATGTATATATAGGATATATATATATAAATAAATGTGATATATATATATACATATGTGTTTACGAAAGTGAGAAATATATTTATGTGCATAAGTAACAACAAGAAAATATGTACATTTGTAATTATGTATATAAAAGTGAAAATACATGTATATGTATGCACATGTTTATATACATATATGTGTATCTAAATGTGATTTTCATTGTATAATATTGTGTATATAATTGTCATATATATATATGTAACCCAGGCAATCCCGAAGTTCACGAAGCATATCGAAGCATACATGATGTGAGCAAGTTCACGGGGACGTTAACATCCCGCCAACCCCACCCAAACCCCGAAGTTCACGAAGCATACATGACGTGAGCAAGTTCACAGGGATGTTAACGTCCCCCCACCCCACCCAAACCCTGAAGTTCACGAAGCATACATGACGTGAGCAAGTTCACAAGGACGTTAAATACCCCCCCACCCCACCCAAACCCCGAAGTTCACGAAGCATACATGTGAGCAAGTTCACAGGGATGTTAACGTCCCCCCACCCCACCCAAACCCCGAAGTTCACGAAGCATACATGACGTGAGCAAGTTCACAAGGACGTTAACATCCCCCCCACCCCACCCAAACCCCGAAGTTCACGAAGCATACATGACGTGAGCAAGTTCACAGGGACGTTAACATCCCCCCCACCACAAACCCAAACAAAAAGCAAAAAAAGGGGTTTCGTGACCAGTTGCGTGGGGGCGGCGCTGGTTACTAAAATGGTAGCTCCAATTAAACAGCTTAGGGTTTATTCATCTGGGGGTTTGACATTCCATCTTTTGGTAGACTACTAGATGGATAAAGAATGGATGGACAACTGTATAACTGGATAGGAACAGGGGCATGATAATGTGAAATCGCAGAATGCAAAGAACGTTTAAAAAAATGAACAGAAAAAATGTGAAGAAAACGGACCTGGAAGGAGTCGAGCCTCCAATTTTTGCTGTCAAACCGTGATGATTATATATTTATAGCATGGCTTCAGTTGGTTTACTAAGTTTACTCATAGATTGTTCCAACTTCGGCATATAGGTGTGTCTGAAAATAGTGTACCCCTAAACCCAATGGTTAATGATCATTATCCCTATTAAATGGCTATAATTGCGAATATTGAATATACCCTATTTTCAGACAAACCCATATAGAACATCTACAAACGCAACCTGGAGCTCAGAGCCCTGGGATAGCCGGGCTAAGCTCAGCGGTACAGGTCGCTGCGAGTCGATGAAAAAGGCACGCTTCGACAGCAGCGCCAGGACGAAGCCCCCTGGTCGGGATGATGGGTGATCCGTATATGATGAGATTTTAATCACTGGAATCACAATAATCCAAATGCATCCAAATGCACCGAATGAAACCGACCAGAAACCTTTCGACTCTCATTGAAACTTGGGTCCCAGGCAGCCTATGCTCTCCAAGAATGTGTGGAAACTGAGCCTAACCCCGGCCCAACCCGCGCCTAACATCCCATTCAAACGGTCGCCATGACCGCCGCAGTAGCTCATACCCTTGGCAGACCAGGTGTGAAACGCACACACGGCCTGCCTTTGGTGACGTTGGGCCTGAACGGCTATAACCTTCCTGTCTAGCATGTGTGACATAATGGATTCAGCTCAGAAAAAGGCTGTCTGGGCTTTTACCCCCATAGCCATGTGGGTATTTCAAAATGGAGGATGCCCCCAATCATTCATAATCATTCCCCAATCTATGGCTATTTCAAGGAGAAAATGATGGGAAAAGATAGCATGGAACAGGGTTGGGCTTCCTTGAGACAGCGCATCCAACCATCGGCGGAAGCCAAGCGGCGGTACAAACATAGACCAAAGCCTGCACTTGGACGACTTGGGAGTTTGCAGGATGTCCAACTTTGAGAACTCCTATTATTTTCTACGGTAGATAATCATTGGTTTATCATGGGGAAAAAAGCTGCTATCATGGGTCCAAAAAAAAAGGTTTACCAACTGCCAACAGCTTCCAGCGCGACTTGAAGTGCTGAATTTGAGGAATCCCAGGCTTCAATCAGATTCTTATCCAATGCTCAGGCTGTAGTTTCTCAACTCATGGCCCCGTGCTGATCTTACAATCGCTATCCTTTGGTAATCAAACACGGCAACGGACCGCCACCTTGTGCGATGATTTTCCATGATTTTCCCATTGCCCATTGAGTTTTGGGGATTTGCCAACCAGCCATATCCAGCCCTGCTTGATTACCGGAGGGTATACTGAACCACCACCACAGCAGTCGATAGATCTCCTGCCTTCTGCTCTGCCTGTCCTCTCTCGAGACGTCGGACAAACTCCTGGTGGGCCTTTCGACAGCGAACGCCCACCAGTGCCACTGAGATTCCCCGCCATGGGGTGGTCTGAAATTGGGAGCCCAAGAATTGCATGGTTTTAGTATGGCATGACCTTTCACCAAAACAGCCAGTTTGGTGTATCCCACTATTTGAGACAACCCCCAATCAGACCGTGACAAGACCATGTATTGTAAATCTTGTTCACCGTCTCATCCCACCTCATTCCTTTCAATACCACCACCCCTCCATTCATTTTCCCGCCTGCAAGTAAGCAGAAACTCCCTCAGGCGGCCTCAGCCGAAGGATCCAGCGGGTTGGGTGTGATCTCTGAAGTTGGACAAGTTAGAGAATCTTCCAAGGCCCCTCCAACACTAGCCGCTTGTTCGCTCGCTCAAAACACTTATATATGGATGTTTCCGAAAATGGGGATACCCCCAAATCATCCATTTATAGATGGGATTTTCCCTTATAAACCATCCAGCTATTGGGTACCATATGGCCAACCTGATTTCTCACACCCTTCCGCAGATCTCTGGGGACCCATACCACGCCACAACCGAGATGGGCCTGGGGGATCCAATACTACACCACCCATTTGGGAATGGTTTATACTACCTATCTATGGTGATGACTGGGGGATTGTGCAAATGGCATTGTGAAATACCCACAGCAAAAAGCTGTGGAAAAGTCACTGGCATAGAATTTTGACCCGCAAAAAAAGTCAGAACAGTCACTGGCATGGAATGGATCGAGTTATTACAAAAGTTATTACTGCATTCAAAGAAACAAAGATCACCAGTGAATACCTTTGTAGCTTGTTTCATCAATCCCTCACACAAGAAAAAAACGACACAAACTGATATAGAGACAAACAAGAGTTCAGGTCAAGCAATCACCCCGCTCATCACGGCTGGTTCTGTCACGCGTGCTATTTCAGAGGGCTTTTGGGATTCAACAATGTTCAAAACATGTCCAGTTCTAACCATTCTTATTTGCAAGGCTTCTGGATATTTGTATATATTTTTCAAGTTTTGCCTGAAAAGGGGATATTATGCCAGAATATCCCAACAAATTGTACCATGTTAACATATCTCAAAGTGGAAATGATCATGAACCACTCAATGTTTGGGATCTCCAGCCTGATGGGTCTCATCCCTTTCCAGCTCTGCGACCTTGATTTTTCCACAGAGGAATCATCACTCTGGCTTTCTTCAGCCGGCAACGGGTCACCCTCCCAAACGCGTGTCTGAAAATGGAATCCATGGAGTATCCTCCCAATTTTTTTTGATAGGAGCAATGATGATGAACCCATGGATTTGGGGGTATACTGCCCTATTTCAAGACCCAGAAACCTGGACAGGACCGGAAATTCAAACCAGAACTCAGGTTGGGACGAGAGATCCTCTTCTTCTGGCGCTGTCAACAGCCTGGTGAAACAGGTTGACTGGGACCAGCCACTAGTTGTATCTCATGCGTCTTTGGGGTCGAAGGTACTTTCACCTCCCACAAATTATTCGGGATTGCCTACAAGATCCATAATCCCATGGTTTATGATTATCTGTCTTACCAATTGGAATGGCAATTCTGCGGTATACCCCATGTCTGGACAAACTCACCACCAAAAGTCGCCTCGAGATTCGTTTGCTCTCATCACACTGCAGCTCCTGGGGCCAGAACTCGTAGGACTCCTATGATATCGTCTGACCTTATGGCTAGTCAGCTAGTCTGCCAAAGTCATTAATCCGATCCTTATGAAGCTGGCGCCTTCCAAGTTGACCATAGGTTGAAGTGTGCCAACATTGATATCACTTCGAATATCCCATTAGATACTCATATTTGTTGCTAAAACGCCCCATACTCCAAGTACTCAAGTTAAACATTCCCATTGTATCGCCATAGAAACAACATATAAATACCAGATCATCATCCTATCCATGTCCCATCACATTCCCGGTATCCGTCAAAGCCGTCCTCAATCTCTGCTGCCCAGCCCAAAGGGCGCAGGGTCGTCTCTCCGCAAAGGGCTGATGCGAAGCTGTCCACATTGCGTACCTGCGCAAAAATGGGTCTATCACAACAAGTCATAGAGTGTAGATGCTGTATATAATATATAATGTATGTATATTAAAAATCAATACATATTCTGGTAATAGAATGTCAAAAATATTGTAATATATCCGCCGACCCTGCTTAGGCATGGCTACGGCAGGGCGGCGCCTGGGACCACATTTGGTGTGAAACTATGCATTTCGAGGCCTTGAGTTTTTCAAGCCAGACCATACCCAAACTACGCTGCAAACCCGTGCCACCAGCTTCCATGCTGAGCTACCCCATAAAAAAATGCCTTCAAATCCACCAAACCATTCCCAGCAGCTGCCGTGCCGAGCTATTCCACCCAAACACCGAAACCACGCAGGCCACAATCTTAGCATTGCATGTCGAAGTTGCCGAATGGCACCCTCCAAACCCTGCAAACCCTTCCCAGCAGCTTCCATGCTGAGCTGCCCCATATACAAACCATACCACGCAGCCAGCAATGTTTTTACTACCTTTCGAAACTGCTGGATGACACCCTCCAAACCCTTCCCAGCAGTTCCATGTTGAGCTACCCCATACAAACTGCGTCTTCAAACCCCCAAACCACCCCGACGCAGCCAACAATGTTATTCTGTGTTTCGGAAACTTCCGGATGGCGCGAGGCTCCGGGCCTCATACCTAAGGCCCCCGGAAAGGTTATGACATGCGCGCTGCGCAAAACATTGTTTAAAGTCCCTCTGCATCAGGGCTCCGGGCCTCTACTTTGGCAATTTTGGGCCTGAATCTGGGCAAGGCTCCGGGCCTCTACTTTGGCCATCTTGGGCCTGAATCTGGGCGAGGCTCCAGGCCTCATACCTAAGGCCCCCTGAAATGTTATGACATGCGCGCTACGCAAAACATTTATCATACTATATTGCATTTTTTCAATATATTTTAAAATCGTGCCATGCATTGTAATATATTGCAATAAAAAGTAAACATTTACAAAATATAGGCAAATTATTTGATATATATATATATTGTTAAGTATGGCAATTTATCGTAATATATGAAAAATAGTGTAAAATATTGTAATATATTGTAATATATTGTAATATATTGTAATATATTGTAATATATTGTAATATATTGTAGTATATTGTAACATGTTGTAATATATTGCAATAGATAGTAATAGAAGGAAATATGTTCAAAAATACTGCAATAAATTGTGGTATATGGTTATACATTCTCATACATATTGTAATATATGTATTGTCATATATTATACATAATCGGTGTATACAGGGTAATATATTGTAATATCTGTCTCAATATATTATATAGTGATGCTTATTCATCTTCCGAATTGAATCTGAAGTCTATTTAATTGGGGCGGGAAATTGGATTCTTCGTCTTCCCGATTGAATGTTGTTCATCCTTCCCCTTGAATGTAATGTTGTCTGACCAATAGTGATATCTTGTCAATAGTAGAAACATTTTTCCGCAACTCCAATTTTTCTCCAATACTAAAAGTCAATTAGCTCTATTTACTTTTAGTATTGCCAAAAGAGTCATGTTCAGACCTTGTCCAGAGGGCATGGCCAATAGTGGACCCAACATGGCAATAGTGGAAACTTTTTTCCCAACTCCAAATTTTTCTCCAATACTAAAAGTCAATTAGCTCCATTTACTTTTAGTATTGCCAAAAGAGTAACGTAAAGCAAATCCTTTTCAAAGCAGCCTTCACTTTTGATTAGCAAAAGCTTAGATTCCAGAAATCTGATCCAATTACCAAACAGCTGATTTCCTTATAAAACCCTTATTAAAGAAAGCAAGAAAACAGGTCCACAAAGGGTACCCCCTTTGCAAGCCCCAGAATAGCAATAACAAACCTGCACCAGGCATGGCAATAGTGGAAACTTTTTCCGCAACTCCAATTTTGTTGTCCTTCTTCTCCTTTTCCTTCTTCTCCTTCTTCTCCTCCTCCTCCTCGACCTCCTCCTTCGCCTCCACCACCTCTGCCCCCACTTCCATGTCCACTTCCGCCTTACCAACTCTTCGCCAATCTCTCAGCAACCCAACCAAATCCATTCAGAATCTATCAGAAACCCAACAAAACCATGGAGAATCTATCAGATACATATCATGATCCCAGCTATAGATTCCCAAAAATTATTGTATGAAGGTTGAACCCCCCTAAAAGAAAAAATAAAAATAAAAAAATTAGGGGGGAGGGGGGTAATTACTATTAGGCAGCCAACATTAAGTGTAATAAAAAGTTGAATTAGTATGGGAACCAAGCACATTGCAACGCCTGGGCAAAGCCCAGAATATATATATATATATGTATAATGTGTATGTACGTATATTAAAACATATACATATACAATATATACATATATACTATAATATACGTATATATATATAGTATATAGTATATATATATATCATTTTATGAACATGTGTGCATGTACTCAAACATGATCAAGCATTGCCATCGAATGGCGAGGAACATTTTGATACACCATCAAACTTAGGGCCATCCTATTTTCAGACCAATCCATGTGGCGACATGATTTTCAGTTGTTGGATGCAATCACGCTGGAACCCGTCCCAACTACCGCTAAATCAGCATATCTGATGGGCCCAGACGTGGTTCGTATGTGGCAACCCCTTTGTTCCCTTTTGAAGTTTGAAAATCTTGGAGTCTGAAACTTCTTCATCCTGCCCAATTTTCCGGGCGAACCGGTCCTCAAAGCGACGCCAAAGAATTGTCGTGGAAGCATCAGCCTGGCTGGAGTGAGGGCCTGCAGGTTGGGAAGGGGTGGACCAGCCAACCTGAAGGTGTTTAAACATGGGAGGCCCGAAACCATGAGTTCACAAAAATCTAACAATGAAGTTGAATAACTTGGATGATTAATTTTGGGGTCCGGTTCAAGAAACCACCGAATGGGCGTGCCTGGAGTCGTACCTCAAAATGGCAAACTAATTACGAAAAGAAGTTTTAAACCGTTTGCTGTAAGCCATAGGGTTTGGGGTCATCCTACTTCTAGACGAACCAAAGTGCATGAATCCAGGGAATCACCCATGAAGGCTTCCTGATCCACTGGATCGGTTGCTTAGGGATCTACAATACCTGCAGAGGTCAGCTCTGGCCTCCTGGGCCATGGTAGCCGCATGGGAACCGTTGGTTAGAACCTGGGCGAGCACGTTCGCCACATAGGAAAGGCACAGGAAAGCAACATCAAAATCAGATGTGGCAACACTTGCCGTGAAACAGTGGAATTTCCTCGGGATCAGGAACAGTCAGAATGAAGGTTCGTCATCAAGGCAGATTATGGTTCATCATCATACGGGCTGTGTGGGTTTATGTCTATGGATCGCAGCCTTGGTGTTCCAAGGTTCACATCAGAATAGTAGGTAGATGGGTGACAATCACAGCTTTTGACCTTTCCCCTCGGTGTTTCTTTTGAAAATGAAACAAGCGGCCTTGGGTCAATTGGTTTCTGTGGGCCCGGCAAAAATTTTGTTGGTTTGCACAGCCTGCACGCATGTTGAAATATTTGGGCGTGGGTCAGCATTCAAAACTCAGGGGTCAAATGCTGATTGCTGTTGGTATCAAATATCAAACCATCAGGGGTCCCAAGTGTTGTTGACCCATGACACGCTTCGATGCTGGTGATGTGCGATGGGAGATCCATTTGCTGAGGTTAATTGTTCCAGCATGGTGGCAAACTACATGTTATTTAGGACAACTCGTATTAACTTCAATGATCGCAGTTCAATCTCGAAATATTACTTCCACTTCGATTGTTCTCCTTTGCCCAGGGTTCAAATTCTGTGATTTCAGACGCCCCTTTCCTTGGGATCATCAAGGAAACCTTTCCCCAAAAACACGCGAAACATGGATCCCAGCTTCCCAATTTAGTGTGTGCCACCCTGTCCGGGTTTCCGCCTTGAGATCTTTGTGGCACTTCATCAACTTCTCCGTCGGAAACGCCTAGCTGATCCGTGGAATGACAGGATTGCATGAAGTGGCACATTGTGGTCAGGACACCACCAATGGTGCAAGGGCCCATGTGCGCCCAAAATATGTCTGGTCACGCCTCACCTTTGCCACGCTGAAATACCGAATGACCCTAGCCTGTCCACCGACGCTGTGCCTGGCGGACAAAGATAATGAACCTGGGAGCTTCAGGGCAAAGTTTCTGCATTTCGGTTTCTTCCGATGCCTTCGCCGCGCAAACGCGGATGTGCCATCACACCCAATGGCCCGCTGGCTGTCGGATTCGCTGGTTCCGGGCTCATTTTGTTGGGGCAGCTGCAAGTACCCAGAATCGGCTAACAAATGTTGCCCTGGTTCCCTGCGCCTCAAGCAGCTCGCCACCGCCTGGCGCTGGCCTGGGCTCCAAACATGCACAGGTGGTTGGGGCGAATTTGAAGCGCCGCTGATTTGCCCCAGCACCTTTCAGTTTGCGCGCCCTGCGAGCTTCCAAACACATGAACCAGTGTGGCGCATCTTGGCGCAACGGGGTTTCGCAAAAAGATCTAAGTCCTTCATGCCGCCCAAGCGCTGATGCGGGCGGGCTGGGCAAGCGATGATGGCTGAGTTGGCCGGCCAGTAAACGTCGGACATGTGCCCCTGCGATGTGTTCCCTCATCTCCTTTCTGCAACAGCCGCGTCTCAGCCTATGTCATGTGGAATGGCTTCCCCGGGTTGGTGCGAAATATAATTGTCACTCCAACCAGGAAACAAAGTGAAATAGGCTGCTTCAGAACAGCCAACATGGCCTCTTTTCCTGTTGCTACTTTTGTGGTGTCGGATTGTGATTTCAGGCGCTCAGTTTGCGATGTCTGATTGCTGTGTTTCGGATGCTGCATTAGTGATGTTTTATTGTGGCCATTTTTTTCCACAGAATTTGTATTTTTCTTCTCTGCGCGTGCATGTTTTTCCCCATCTGCCAGCTGCTCTCCAGATTTTAAGAAAACAGACACCCCTGGACCACACTATTACAGACACGTCAGCTTCAGTGCCAGCATCGAGCTCGCCAGCTCTGCGAGGGCAGACCCGAATAGGATGCTCGATAAAATGTCAATTGAATGTCTGATAAAATGTCAGATGTAGAATGTCAGAATATATGTCAGATAAGATGACAGACATAATTTCAGAATATATGCGAGAATAAATTTTGGTTGCTTGATCCTCTGTTGTTTGTTTGGTCATATTGCCGTGCATTTCATGGACATAGTTTCAAACGTTTAAGTGAAGAATGCCAGATAAATGTCAGAATATATGTCATATGGATATATATATATATCGTCAGATAGAATGCCAGATAGAATGTCAAAATATAAGTCAGATAGAATGTCAGATACCGGCTATACGTAAGGACATACTGTGAAATGCTGTCAAATAGATTCTAGTAGTATGCCAGAATGTATGTAATATAAGATGTCATATGTATATATATATATACATATATATATATATTTATAAATGTGTATATATAAATGTGTATATATATATGTATATATGTATATATGTATATATGTATATATGTATATATGTACATATATATATATATATGTATATACATATATATATATACATATACATATATATATATGTATATATATATATACATGTATGTATATTATAGTATGTCAAGATACAGTGTAGACGTCAAGTGGAATGTCAGAAAATGTGCCAGATACCATTGCGGGGATCACACGAAGTAAATTTTTGGCGCTCATCGTGTGATCTCTGATTGTGGCATGCTTGATTCTGGTTGTATGTTGAGCTTTTCACAGAGACTGTGCTTTTCTTGTGCCCTCTTGGAGATTTTGTGGTGCTCATTTTGTGACCTCTGATTTGTATGCCTGTCCGTGATGTTGTGTTAGCTGTTTCCGGTGGCACTTGGAGAAAACATCGGGCCTTTCCAGGCCAAATCGTTTGCCCAAACCGGCCTCTATGGCCCTCAAATCTTGCCAAATTTCTGGTGCTCCTTTGAGCATACTATCTGATATCTGGAGCATCATTTTTGAGCTGTTACAGGGATTAAGGCTAGTCAAACTATGTCAAAATGAAATACTCAACGTGATTTGGCCCAGCTTACAAGATTTACAAGTAGACGAGCCAGATCGAGCCAGGAATGGAAGGTTGAAGGGTTATTCTCATCTCAAAAAAAATACCCGAAACTTCATCTCCCCAAAACTTGATCAAACACATATGCGCCGATGCACCTAAGACCTCTTACCTGCCAAAATCGTTGCACCTTTAACTTCTTATGCCTCAAAATCGATGCCCAGGCTGCATGTTTTGGCGAGAATTCATGGACAATGATGGACACTTTATCTTTTCCCACGTGGGAAAACATGGAAAACCCAAGCCAAATCGCATGGTATGCCACTGGGATATGGGCCATTGATTTGGTGGTCCAATTGAAGATTTGGACCTCTTGAACCCATACTGGCTAGGCATGGGGCCCGGGAGCAGCCAAATTAAGGAACACATAAACACACTATATGGCTGTCCAATCGCTAAAAATGGCATGGCAGTACAAGGAAGATAACATCAAAGTAATAAGATGTCATCAAATACTTGGTATTATGATACTAAAGTATATAATACCAAGCATCAAATCACATCAAATCTTTAGGGCATGGTCGGCTGGTGCAGCTGGTTGCAGGCCAGGCATCCTGACCCCAGCAGCAACTGAAAGGCATCGCCTCTGTGGCATCAGGTTGAGCCAAGAGGGGGTCCTGATATGTCTTGATATGTCTTGATACATGATATTCCTGATATTCCATCCTGATATACATATTATGAATATCCATCAGGATACTTGATATGTTTTGATACATATATCATTCATTACATTCCTGATATGATATGAATTTCCATCGTGACATTCCATGATTTGTTTTTAATGCTAGTCCACAATGATGGAAGAGAATTGTCAGCCTCTCACACCAATCAAACAACCCCCATGCTAAGGTGCAGGCTTGTAGGCCTCTCTGCATAGAAGAATACCAGCTGGCGTCCAGAATGTATGTTGGTTGCCATTGTAATGGAAAAGCCACACGTCTTGGTTTATGTTTCACATTTGGGCATGACTCAAAATCAAAGCCCAAGGATCTCAAAAAAATGACAACAGGAGTTTTGGTCATGTTTCATTAGTAAATCCCCCATTTTGGGTAACCGTTAGATGGTTTGTCAAAATGTCTTCTTCTGGTTTGGTTCATAAATCGTAATGTCATGCGTGCCGCTTCTTGTTTGGTCTTTAAACCTTTGACTTATCTAAATAGTCTGAAACCTTTCATTTTATCTTTAATGTTTGAAACCCTAGCTAAAACCTGCAGGAAATGCTAACGCACGTCTACATGGAGTGGATGCCACTGATAGTTTTTAGTCATGGAACTGGAAGATTTGTTCATCTGCTGCAGGGCTTGTTGTCTTTGTCAAACAGAAAGGATAAACTACAAGGTCTCTGGCAGCGACTGGGTCACGGGTCAGCCAAAGCCGCTTTTTGCAACTTTTGCTACCTCGTTGCTAGCGGGGATCTAGCGGATAAAATTACGCACAAATTGGCAAAATTGAAAGACGACCTTACAAATAAAGGAATATGGACTCGTAGCACAGAAATTCACAGAGACATCCTTAGGTCTTAGGTTTGAGGCGCTAAGTGTTACATTTGAACTTTTCTTCATGTTGAAATAACAAGCAGTCCGGAACACATTGTGCATATCTTTGAACATGGATGTGTAACAAAAACTAGCGCAAACGCAAACCTAGCGGGTTTGCTAGTGCTGCCTTGCAGAATTGGCGAATTTAGTTGCGTGCCGCCTCATAATGAAGAGGAAAACCCACTAGATCCACACTAAGTATCAACCATTGGTACAACACTTCTGTCAACATTTTTGCACCCAGGAGAATGACACATGATAATGCCCCAGTTTACTGATGAGGGTTACCCAAAACAGTGTTCAACATCAAAGTACCATTCGAATTGGTACCCCCCAATTTTACCCACTATTAATAAACATGACTCAACTGGCGGGTTCGGAGTTTCTCCTGGCTTCACAGTACTCCTTTCAATGCCATGGCATCACAGCAGTGGCCTGCAAGAGGCTTCTCTGAAACCTCGGCGGTTGCGATTCACCAGGAGGAATTCCTGGTTTCTCGGCAGAGGCACTGGAGACAATTTAGAGATGGGATTTTAGAGAATCTAGATATTTTACTTTCAGTATCTTTGAGTCACTTTTCACATGTCTGAGAGTTTTGAAGAAAAAACGGAGACCTTGAACAATTCTTGGAGAAAAATCATGCAGACGAGAAAAGGTGAGCCTTTTAACATTCTTTAAATTGAGACATCATCACCACGTCTTCGACACGCAAAAAAATTCGACGAGTCTGCGGCATCAGTGATCCAGGAACTTCCATCAACAAGGCCAAGACCTAACGCTGCAGGTGAAGCCAGGTGAAACTCTGGGCAATGAGTTGACACATCGCGGTCCTGCTTCAGATACCCTCTGGTAAACTAACATAGCTATTGAACATGGCCATTTATAGTGAGTTTTCCCATTAAAAATGGTGATTTTCCGTAGTTATGTTAGTTTACCAGAGGGTATCGCTGGTATCTGGGACCCAAACCCGATCCATCCAATTGGAGAAGGTGTCCAGCATCCCACCTGACCAACGAAAGGCCTCGTTGCGTTTTTTAAGTGGAGTCCTCAAGGTCCATCGGGTCCATAAAGAGAAAGATCCATGTCACATGTCCAAAGGCACAAGCATCAGCCAATTTTAAACTCACAAACTCTAGAGTCAGACAACTGATTTGCTTGAGCAAAAAAACATATGTATATATATATATATATTGTATATTATATATATATTATATATATATATATTTATTATATATATATATTCACCTGGTGGATGCGTCTGGACCCCGATTCTCAAACAGGAAGTGAGATGATGCACATCAAACAACACAAAGATGTGTTTGGTCACATGTCAAACCAGATTCCACTGACCAAGCAAGAAAACAGTCCCAAAATCCATGAGGAACCGTAAGGTTGATTAGTTCTCTTTGATGCTAATGGAAACACTCGCCGGAAAATAAACACCCAGAGCATCCTTAGCTCTTGGCTGGGTGAAAACGTCCTTTGGCTGGAAAAGAAACACCTCCATCATGGCTTTGAAAAGCAGCTCTTTCACGCTTCCACCAGGTTGAGTCTGATGTTTTGGGAAAGTTTCAGACCCAAACTTCGGTGAAATCCCACGTGGCAAATGAGAAATTTTCGTCATAAATGGAGGTTTTAATGGGAAGCACATTTATTTCTCAAGACATATCTCTTTAGTGCCTCATACTTTCCACTGCTAGCACACGGTTGGGAAAATGAGAGCCAAGATGAGCCAAGCAAGTCTAACTTTTGTCAATTCTGGGAAACATATCCATGATGATGAGGATGACTAGGATGAGTGAGGATGAGAATGGGGATGAGGATGATGATGCTGATGACGATGGTGATGGTGATGGTGTATAATCGTGATGATATCTGAGTCAGAAATAGTCAGAATACCACTTCAGAAGCGGTCTGTGCGACTGGATCTTTTTTTGGTCGATGGGGTTTTTGAAGCTCATGGAACCTGTCCACCACCACACACGAGTTGCCGGAAAAAAATCCCCCAGGAAAGAACTATCATAGGGCCCCGATGACTTTCACACGTCTCACCAGTGACACTCCTCACTTGATTGCAGCCTTCCGAAAGTGACTCCACGTATCTCAACGAACAAACAGGGTCCGGCGACTTGTCCTGCGCGGGGCATTCCACGTAACAAACCGCGGACAGGACCAATCTGATGGCCATGGTCACTGGATTGGGATAAGTCTATAGACGGAACCATAGGAAACCATCGATTTAAAACCCGCAAAGGTGTCCCCAAGCCGAAGCGGCTGGAAAGTTGCATCTGACCATGGTGCCTTTTATAATTTGGGATCTCGAAGCACTCATGATCGTTCATGGCTGGTCTTGAAAAACATACTGCTGGTAACCAAACAGGTCCTCCCAATTGCTAAAGTATCGGAGCTGGCAACCAAACATTTATCAATGAGTGCAACATTTGGTTCCCATGCCTTGCCTGGCACAGGCTAGTGCAACTACTAGGGCACTCTCCTCACATCTCCTTATCTTTTTATGAACGTATCATCGGTCAAAATTGGAGGCCCGTAAAATTGGATAGTACGGCATGATATCCGTAGTACCAAAGGTTCACCAAAATCTGAAAACAGGGTAACCCCACTAAAAAAATGCCGTATCATATGTATCATTGTTTCCCATAGCTTCCCTACTAAAAGGGGGGGCTACACCCTATTTTCAGATACACCATGACACACCGCTTTCCTGAATGACCTGGTCGGTGAAGATGGCTCCCATGCGATCCTGTTTTTCAAGCACAACGGAAAGCCCGCCATGGGTTTTTTGGGCCCCTTTTATGGGTCAAAAGCCATAGAAAAAACCATGGAATCCCCCTAGGGTGCCCACCATGTTAGCTGGTAAAGATCCATCCCCACATGAAGATGGATCCACATTTCAGGCACATCAATCATGAGTTGTGATGCTACAACAACTCTACTAAAGTGTTGCCGAAGTGAAGCTTATCACTATTTATATCTATTCATATATTCAAAGATATTAAAGTATCTACCACATGCCCATTTTCTTTTGAACATTTTGAACAGTATCGGCCAAACGACGCGCCTGCAAGGACAGCAGTGCTGACGATGTGAAATTCTCTACCTGAGCTATGATGGCAATGGTGTGATGGAACTCCCCTAGTGTAGTCATAGACATGTTTGAAGAAATGTGACAATCAATGACAATCATGCTGGATCTATTGTTTCGGCATTGATCAGTATATATAAACGCAACGGGTATACATATTTCATCCGACATAATCTGCATATAGGTATATATATATAATCATATTATATATATAATCATATTATATATATAATCATATTATATATATAATCATATATATATATAATCATATATATATATATAATCATACATATATACATACATAATCATATATAATTAAATATAATGTGTGTGTGTTCACAATAGTAGTTATCAATAATTGTCATCCACATATGGATAAATCCATTTTGATCTTCCATTTCTTGTTCTACCTTGATCTATGCAGAGCTTCGCAGCTGCGGCGGCCTGCTCAAGCTTCAGGTTGGATGAACTCTGAAAGCAGGCAGCGCCTTGGTGATCCAAAAGTCACATCGTCGAATGCCTTCAAAAAATGGTGGGAGCGAAGATCATGTCAGATCCATTGTTCAGCAATTGATGGTCGAATTCCCTCGGTTTTTTTTAGAAATGGATGGTTGGAGCACAGCTGGAATCTTTCCCGACTGATGGAACCCGCATGTCTTGAAAGGGGAGCAATTGGTCCACATGCCCAATAACCCCAAGGAAAAGTGGTAGCTGAAAGATGCTGAAGGAATCAAATAGCATCAATTTTCCAGAGTTCATTTCTCAGAGTAGAGATCTAATGATATCAATCATTATATAATATAAATTATATATACATGGACCTGCCACCTGGATGTAAACATACTCAGCCCTCACGTCCGGGGAAGAGACTGAGTCACCGGGCAAAGCATGTGCATGGTGGCACCCTGCAAAATGTCGAGACCTGACAAGCTGTACCACTTGCGCCAAATAATATACAAACAGAGCAAATGACACATGCAGATCCATGTTTTTCACAGGTGTTTCACAGCTTGAGTTGCTATGAAGCATCAACTAGATGAGTTGGGTTTGACAAAGATGTGGGTATGTCTGAAGCTGAGGTAATCAAATGTAATTACCAAATTCCACCTATAGTATATATATATAATCCCGGAATGTTCAATATGGAATGCTTAGGAGGCCATACTGCCATATGGTCAAACTTGAAGTCACTCCAAAAAACACAACACTCATCAACACGCAGTGCCTTTGACGGTCGCATCGCGAGCATTTCGGAAGCCTTGGCTGATACGTCTGATGCGTTTTCCAGGACAGGGCCCACGGAATTGTCCACCTGTGCTGAAGCTGCAGAACTGAACTGAGCTTTGATACCTTGCAGGCGTGACAGGAAGAGCTGCTGGTGGTAGGCTGAACCTTGGTGAAAGCCCCAAACATCATTCCACTTTCCTTCCATGGCACTTGTCTGCCCATAGACCCACAAATAGACACGGTTTTGGGAGACACTACAATGTAAATACAACAGTCTTGGGGGGGTCCGATGCCCTTCTTCTGGTAAATGTACAGGGGTCAGTCTTTTCTTTAGAAATACAGGAGTTGCAACAATTATAGAACGGAATTGGGAGTACAAAAGTACGGATAGACGGTAAAATAGAGTACTTTCGTACTCCTGCAAAACCCCGATTCCGCGCGGATTCGGATCCTGTTCTATAATTAATTTTTGGCTGTTCTATAATTAATTAATTTGTGCTCCTCAAATTCCCATTGAAACCACCGGCAACAAGCAGATGGTGTGAGTCTTGGAGGTTACTTGCATGTATTTACATCATTTTATGTATCTTTCTGGGACCCCGGAAGAATGTACATAGAAACCAGAATTATAAAACGAAATTATTGCAAATCTAATTATAGAACACGCAAACATAGAACAGAATTGGTAAATGTGAGAAATATGAGGAAAACACAGTTATGGAACACAAACAAGAGTAAACAAGAATCATAGAACGACAAAAAAGTTAGGAGTAATCTGAGAGTAAGTGTTTTTCCCAACGTTCTGAGGAAACAGGAATTATGGAACTATTGGGTATGTTAAACAAGCGTACTTTCGTACTCCTCAACAACCATCGTTCTTTTTAATTGTGGCAACTCCCATAATATCATGTTATTACCACTTACCATCTGGTTATTTAACATAGCCATGGAAAATCACCATTTTTAATAGGTAAACCATCTATTTCTATGGGCCATCTATACCATGGCTATGTTAAATAACCAGAGGGTACCTAAAATGGCTGTGAAACCATGGGGGTTGCCATGGCCCTTTCCGAAACTTCACCCAGTGTCTGGCCCAAATTTTCGGTCGACTCGAAAAATCCAGGAGATCCAGCAGGGACCATCAGCAAAGTTGTTGGCTGCCTGGCCGATGAAAAATCATGCCAAGCTTGGATGAATAAGCGTCCAGCTAATTAATCTGGTTAATATATGGTTAATATATGGTTAATGATGATGGTTATTATATGGTTAATATATGGTTAATAATGGTTAACTGGTTGGTGGTTGACCTGCCCCTCTGAAAAATCATGGAGTGAAAGTCAGTTGGGATGATGAAATTCCCAATATATGGAACGTCATAAAAGCCATGTTCCAAACCACCAACCAGCTTATTATACAATGGGGCTCCTCGATCCAGTGATCATTCCAAGTAATGGTCCAACTGAATCTAGCAACAAGAACACAACTGCTTTCAGACTGTTTTTACGCGACAGAATCGCGTTGGGTCACTTTGGAGAGGCTCGCAGAAGTGAAAGCAGATGGCTCGGAGTGATTGATCCTTTTGTATCCTTTTGTATCCTTTTGTGCGCTTCATTTTGATGGGTTAGGTGTAAAACAAGAGACTTCTCAATTCTGTTAATCTATGTTAATCTATGTTAATCTAGTCACCATTTGCAGTGGAAATGTTGTCGAACTCGATGTATTGTGTCCACAACGAGCTGATTCTCTACAAGTAGAGCCAAACATATCATATTCCCAAGAAATGCCGTGGTCTAAGTAAGACCCTTATTTTTCCCATTGAAACGAGCATAGTCCCAAAACAACCTTCAGCCGGAAGCTGCCCACTCCAAACCTCCGCCTCCTCTGCTCGTCTCAGCTCCTCTCCATGGTCGTCCTCGTCATATCCCATCGAAACGTCACCCAAGCGTTGTGGGTTCGACAATCGGCATGTCTTAAAATGGGGAAGGGATCAGAACCTGACTTTCCCTTAGGAAATTGCGGGGTTACACACAATTATCATGCCCAAATATCCAACCTTATGAAGGTTAGGTTTAAGATAGCCTTTAGACCTAAATGGTGCATACTTTCAACCCCTTGTAGCAATGATGAATAATGATGAGGGATGATGGTACATAAGTTTCCGGCCATTAAAAGGATGGAAACATGACATGAGGATTTAGACTAGATCCTGTTGAGATCTTATTGAATCCTAGTATATAATTACATCATTACATCCCATTGAATCTCAATACCGTGGACTATGGATATACGTAATCGTATATCTATCGTCATTATATTCCTTTCTATTAGCGTTAAACATTGAATCCCTGGGGTACCCTGAGTTTCCGCGCAAGCACCCGGAGGATGAACTGCATCATATCTTCCACCTGATTTCATGGTTTCAAACTCGGTGAAATCTATTGGTTGATGTGTTACGAAATCATCTGTTGGTTCAATCTATTGGTGCGCAAAGGTTGCTGTCAATTTCTGAATCAGTGAATTCACCCTAGTCAACTGGGATGAACTAACTGCAGTTGATGAGTGAAATCATTAAGACTTAACTGATCTTAGCTGCATAGTGATTGGCGATTAGGACAAACTAGATCAAGAACGAGGTTCCAAAACTATAGGGTTGCCATCACTGTTCGTATGTTTTCAAACATGTTTGTTTTCTGTACCATCCTATCATCATTGCATTGTGATCATCACTTCGTATTACTGAGCCATCGCACTTCTGCAGTGTACTACAGGTACACAACTCTAACACTGCCTACTGCTGCCATTGCTACGTCGCTGCTGCATAACATCACACGACGTCCGGGGGCGTCTGTCCTTGTCCCAAATCTGCTGCAACTCATTTTCGCGGCAACCTGGGTGAGGCGGTCTGGTTGAAACATGTTGAAACGACAGGCTCAACACAGGGGTGTACCCAAACAAGGTTAAGAGTCGCGGGTGAAGTGACCCATAATCAATCAGACCATGCCGCTTTGTTCAACCCAAACAGCTGCTCCCGCAACAAGCTCCGCACAGGTCTTAGCTTGAAAGTAAGGCGGGCAAGTGAAAGCCTGACAGTTCCCAACCCCTGGCTTCAACGGATGCTAAAAGGCTGCGCTTTACTTGGTGGCTCACCCCACTTAGGGGTTATAACCCCATTTATAAGTGGACTAACCCCACGTGCCGTGCTGAAATGAGGCTTATACGCTCTAACCCATTATTGATTGGGGTGAGTCTCCGACTAGGAAATATTGTCACTTCCGGTCATGCAAAATCTTACCCACAAATCGTAGTCTAGAAGCGTCTCAATCACCCACATCAAATCAGAAGGGAACACCAAGCCATCCCCGCCTCATTCCCTGCCAACGGTTTCTCCACTGATAGGCTCGAAAACCTGGACACAAAGTGCTAAAGAGCAAAGGTATCCGGATGTATCCGGAGTAGCCTGATTGCCCTGCATCTTCATGACAATAACGAATCATCACAAATCCCTTCCTATCAAAATATATCAAATGCCACCCAATCGAAACATATCTGGGTAAATTATAATACTTCACTAACCTGAAATAAGGCCACCCACTTGCGCTCCGCGGCCCGTCCCCCGCATGTGCAAGGACGAACCTGTCCATGTCCTTAGAAACTGAAGTCTAGTCCTGAGAAGACAAGCATCACAACAAGATCAGCAACAGAGGTAATCAAAATCCAAATAAGAACCTCGGAGTCTCACAACACAAATGGGTGATAACACAATCAAGTTCACGTTGCTTGTCTGGACAGGCGTATGTCTCTTCGCCTGGCATTATACCGGCGGTTCCGGTCCTCCTGATTATCCTCATTTGGACCCTGTACGGTTGTCTGAACACACGGTTCACTGTACGGGATATTCGGCCACTTGGTGAAATTTCGGCTACCCTGTTGCTGTTCAAAATACGCCACAAGTAAATCAACTGTCTCACTTTGACGTTTCATTACCGGTCTGAAAGCAATGCCCTGCTTGGTGGCGTTGCCACCCATTTTCCTAAGTGAGGTGACTTTCTGCGGCTTCAGAGTTGGAAGAAGGTCTGTCTGCAAAAGAAAGCCCAGATGAGCTATACAATCTCGTAGTGCGTTCGTCGCCAAGGAAAAACAATGTACAGTATGGTCCAATGTAATGTCCTCTTCCATGCATGAGTATTTCGTAGGCTGTCCATGAGGAGAAACATTTATCTTCAAGCTATGCTGTGTCGTGATCATGAAGTTACATGCTAGTTCCAGCCACGTCACCCCCACCGGAGGCTTTTGTCGGTCAGGATGAGTTGGCCATTCCAAGGTCTGCAGCCATTCCAGTACCAGTGCACTGTAGCGAGAGCCAAACCGAGAAGCATGGACATGTTCAAACTGGTCAAGTGTAAAAGTGTACTTAACTGGGTTATTCACAACATATTGCTTAAAGAAGTTCGCCTTAGGCTCAACTGTCTCTGTCTGGACGGTTTCTGTTTCCAAACGTTTGCGTAACTCTGCCAATTCTGCTCGCATGGTCAGATGTTGGCAAAGCATATCTTTCATCTGCTTACTTTCGTGGGCAAGCCGGGCTAGATTGGTCGTAAAATGGCGTGCCAAATGTTCCTGGGTCTGCGTAGCAGCACAATCAGCAACCATGTTACCAAGCTTCATGAAAGCATTTGGGTCTTCTCGACTAATTTTTTGGTGAGCTTTCACCTTGAGAATTGGAATATCCATACGTTGATCCCAATGCAGAGCATGCAATCTGCGCAGAAGGTCAAAATTCTTTTTCTTGGCTAATTTCCAAACGTATGGAGTCTGTTCAATCAAATGATGCACGTACATGACGTATTGTGAGTCTGTTACTACAGGCACCTGCAACTGCATTTCCTGAGCAAGAGTTGCAGCCATAAGCTCTGCACGAGGAATTGTTTGGAGGCCAGTAACATGTGACACTGCGACTGTGTCGAAAGTGTTCTGCAGCAACCATGAAGCATCATTTAATCGTTCACAAGGCACTTGCGAGAGGTCATATGGAGTAGCAACTACTGCGTAGGACGCCCATCTATGGTTTGGGCTGGCTGGCATCTTACAGGATCCATCTGTAAAAAGAAACCTGGGGGTATATGGCAATGGCTGGCATAGAGGTTCAGGATACTTTTCAAAAACAAAAGAGTGAAAGTCCACCTCTGGATCTGCATAAGCTGCCGGGAGTAACGTATGAATCATGTCATGGTCTTGCAAGAAATCACACACTGCAGGATATTTCGCTCTTACCACTTGCGTGGCTTGGCAGTGCAAAACCCTATGCATCACCGTATCCGCTTGGTCACAGAATTGGCAGTGAGTGTCCTGAAATTCATCAAAATGTGCTTTTTGTTCATTCACCATGTATCCCATACAAAGGTCAAGACCTACGCTTCTCTGCTTTTCCGGTGGGACAGCTTGGAAAATTTTTACGGTTGCACGATTGTCAATACGTGGCAAGTTACGGAGGTGATGGCGATTGCTAACACAAAGGGAAACATGTTCCATCCACGCACGTTCAGTGGCCAGCATCAACTCTTCTTGGTTGCAGTGGATCAAATGAAGGTGGTTGAAATTGGGGCAATGGATACATCCCTGCTGGTCAATGGTCCAGCCAAGTTTAGCCAAGTAGGCGCTCAGCGCCATTGCAGGTCCTACTATCAAATTATACCTAACTTGATGGTGGGCTGCCATGCGGAGAAAAAGGCTTACCAAGGCAGGGTCAGCTTGTAGCAGGAAGAGTCTGGCTTCTTTAATGGCATTCTGGATAACCCAAAGCTCAGGATCTACCAAGGTTGGGGAAAGGCAGCTGCATGCTATATGGCTTTGGATATTATGGTGAGAGCCCAGCATGGCCGTGGCAATTTTGGATCTAAGCTGGGAGAAATACTCCTCGCCAACCAGATACATGTGGGTCCCATACAGGGCCTTAGTCACGGCAGATGCCATCGCTACATATGCTTTATCTTGAACAGAAATATCAGCCTTACGCAATCTGTGCAGTCTGGCCAAGGCCTGCTTATGTCTTTCCTTCTGTGTGCCTCGAAAGGGCGCGAGACGATAATGCATTATGTAGCCCAAGTCCCTGGCATGTGTGACCAACTGCAATTGTACTTCTGGAGCTAAAACAGAGTCCTTAGCAGCCTGCAAAGCCTCTTGATGCGGCTGAGAGGTGCCCCAAGCCCAAGTTTTCCCCCAATCAATTCCAATGGACAATGCTTCAGCAATCTGCGTGAGGGTGGCCATGGCGGGTAGATGTTGCGTTGGATCAGTGGTAGAGTAACTCCAATTATCTGCAAATGCATTCAAACGTTGAGCATGTGGGGCCATTAAGGTTACCATGAAGATATTTACAGCCAACATGGCTACAACACTCCAAGCATCACCTTCGGGCACTCCTGTGGTGGCAGCTGGCACTACAAACAGCTGGGAGTCAATCTGCCAGTATCGGATCATTTTTTGAATGGATGAGATCCATGCTCTTACCAGGGCAGGTGGAACTCCAAAATGGATGAGTAGTTGGCAAAGTGGTAAATGTGGCAAGGTGTTAAAGGCTTTTATGATATCAAGTGTTAAACCCCCCCAATGCAGGTGAGAATGTCCATGGTTGGTCGCTTCAAGTGCAAGCTGCATCTCATATATCAGCTTGTGGGAGCTTCGTCCCGGCAGAAATCCAGTAATTGATTCAGGGAGTGTGCGGGTCCATGCTTGCAAAATTTGTCTAGAGGTCCATTTACTGTACAACCGGTACAGTAAGGAAAGTACTGTGATAGGCCGGGTGGCCTTTGCCATGTTAGCTTTGTGGTGCTTAGCGACAGGCAGAACTCGAGCTTGCATCATCCAGTCAGGAAATCCCTCCTCTTGAATGAGGTTGAATAGATGCAAAAGGTCACGCACACAATTGACAGGCAAATCTTTGAGTTCATCTGAAGACCAACCACAACAACCTCTAGAGGTGGTGGATGACATCTGTGCAATGGCTGTCTGAAGCAACTCTACACTAGTGACATCAACTAGCAGAATCTGTTTGGGGGGAATCTGACGGCGAAGAGCTTCAAAGGCTTCCCAATGATCAAGATTATGCTGGGATCCAGAACTGTCTCGATTCCAAAACTGTCGCCAGTAAATGGAAAGTTGGTCCGCCACTTCTTTGGGTTCAGCAGTGTCTCGTGGCTGCATCACTTCCACAGTATCTGGAAAGGTGCCAACCTCATCATGAATCATGACTTCCAGTTGAAAACCATCAGTCTGGACTATTGTGCATGCATGCTGATTAATAAAAACTGGCTGGGTGAAGTCAAACTCCATGTGATGGCCTAATGAGAACGTGGCTAACCCATATGTTGGTGGTGACACCATGGTGGCAGGAACTCTATGTTCTTTGGACAGGACACCCACCAAACCTGGTGAGGACTCTCTGATTCTTCTGAAAGCATCTGATCGCCCGAATCTTTTGCTATCTAAATCTTGCTGGTACTGTTGAAGCTTTTGAAGTCGCACCTTATGGTCATAGGCGACCTGATCAAGATGGAATCGATGGATCTGTTCAAGCAAATAAAGGAACTCAAACGATGGCACGGAATAAGGTATGGGGAGTAGCTCTGGGAATTGTCGCATCCAGTGGCAAAACCCATGGTGGTATCCTGTAGATTGGAGGATGCATGTCCATTCCTGGTGAAGCTGCTCAATAGTGGTTGAGCTAGGCGGTACAATTTCAATTTTTCGGATGCGCTGTTTCAGCGATTGAATGCGTCTCATTTGTCTAGTGATTTGTCGCAAATGCATGGTGGGCTGGTCAACATCTGGAGTATATTGGCCATCACAGGCAGTCTTTATGGACCTTGGGAGTGGGGTGCGAACTAAAGACCTGGGTTTACAACGACCTCTATGCCTTCTCGGAAGACTTGACCACGGTTGGGTCAGAGGGTCAGCTTGATGTTCCTTTCGGAGCGCCTCATGGACTGCATTTTCGACAGCGTTGGTCCATATTTGGATCGGATGCTCATCTGCTCGGGTATCTCCAAGAAGAGTGGCTCCAGTGGGATCAAAAACTGAGGCATAGCACTCCCCAATCAAAGCTGTTTTGGGCTGGAGATGAACCCACGGTGTGGGAAGATTCCATGATTGTCTGGTAATTTCTCGGGTAGGCACCCTCAATCTAAAGCACAATGGGTTGTGACCAGTGACAAGGTGTTGTTGGTCGATCCAGATATCATGTACCATAACAGCTAATATGGGGTGTATGAGACAAACATCGTTTCTGGTCGCATCCCCAAAGGTCGGGGGGAGTTCCTGTCCATACAATGACCGATAGAGCTCCTCCATAGATCGATAACCCTCACTGCGGAGAGAAGTCATCTCATCTAGTGTGTCAGGATGCTGGTTGAGATCACCAACTATCATGGCAGGAAATGTGCTTTGCCTGACTGTCTGGTGTGCAAATTGCAATAGGGTATTGGTACGGGCTTTGGCCGATGCAACTGATGCCGGTATTCCGTACAAGTTGCATATTTGGATCTCAAGAGTGGGCAATCTGAGAAAGACGTGTTGGACACGTCCTGCATCATACCATTCGGACCCCAGGCTACTTCGGGCAGGTCGGATTGGCAACTTACTATGGAAAGAAACGCCAATAGCAGCCCCTCTAAAGCTATTTGGGTCCCCTTGCTTAAGTTGCTGGGGCACAGGTGCACCCCAGATGGTCTTGTAGCCATGGGCACGAAATTCAGATGAAGCTGCAGACTGGACTAAGCTCGTGGCACTGGTTTCTGAAAGGATCAGGCAGTCCGCTTTCAGCAGGGCCAAATCAGCAGCTTTCTGATGAACTGCTGTGGGGTTGGTGATAGCAAAAGTCACAAGGTCTGAATCAGAATCATCTGGTATGTCCGGTCCTGGATTTTTGGCCTCTCCTATTCTACAAGCATGCATTGGATGAGGACTTGGTACGTCACCCCAAATTAACAAAAACAGGCTTCGCTGTGTAAGGCATTGTTGCAATGAAAAAGGAATTAGCCTATGATAGTTCTCACGCAAACCAAAGCACTTGATTGGGAGCACAGCATAACAAAATTCCAATGAAGTGAGATCGCATTGGATTGCTGGGCAATTGTGTCTTTGGTCAAAAACGGAATCATGGGCATGACAAAAAGGATTGCGACTGGCCAAAATGGCTCTGGGTCTCGGCACAAGACGTCTTCACTCCAATGACTCGTCTGGTTCGTCCAGCTCTCCGTTATTATTGCGCTTGATTCCTCTGGTCTGCAAGAACAAGAACTTCAATTCATCCATGCTTGAAGCAAGTCTGTCATCTTGTCTCTGCAGGGCTTGGGCGATGGATTGTGTCATGCTGAGCTGTTCCTTGTGCAAATGCTCAATGCTATTCTTGGTGTCTCCCATGTGCTTGTGGAGTTGGTCAGAAACCTGCGAAATCTTTTGGTCAGTAGTTGAGGCAAACTTCAATTGGTCTTCATGAAGCTTCGCAACTGCTGTTTCAAGCGCTTGAAGTCGGCTGCCTTGTTGTTGGAACTGATCGCTAACAGGGCCCGGCAAGGATCGGCTAGGTGCTGAGACTGCAGCTTCACTACCTGTGAGTTTTGATTCTAAATGCTCTTTCTTCTCGGGTGCCCAAGGGTCCATGTGGGGATCTCCTTCAAAGAAAACATTTAGCTTGGGATGTGCCGTCTGCGCCCCTGGCTTGGTCGCCGGGGGTTGTCGTGGGCCCGCAATGATATCACCTGAGTTGTGCATGGTCTTTTGGGTGACCTTTTGAACCAGCAATGGTTGGGTATTGAAGCAAAGCAATGGCGGTGGTGGCTCATCGGCTGCAACCAGCCATGTCTTGGCTCCAATGGATCGGAGCGGGCGAATGTCCCATTGCACCTGAGCTGCCCATTTGGCCAAAATGTCTTTGTCTGTGCCCACAGGCAGAGGTTGAAGTCGGAATGTATGCTTGCGCTGTCTGACATCTGGTGCTTCTTGGTCAGGTTTGAGGCGTAACCAGGCTGTGGCAAAAGATCCTGCTTCAACCCGAAGTCCAAATGACTTGGTACTGCGCAGAAGTCCAGCGGCTCCATCAATCTGAGCAGAGAGGCTTTCGATGTGTTGTGACGTCCCCTGAATCCATATCACTTTCCAGGCAGAATCAATTTGTCCATCAGCCAATTTTGGAGTCAAATATATTCTATTGAAACCGGAAATCCGAAGCAATGCATTCAGGCGGGGACAACGTTGGAACTCTGCATGGAACTGGATCGACTCAGCGTGTTCCGGAGGCACTGGTTTGCCCTTAGCCCTATAGGCTCGGCCCCATGGCTTTGACATCAATTCCCCATAGCCCTCCAACATTAGCAAATCTCTGGTCGTTTTCACTGGGGCCGACTTGATACGCTCCCATGTAGGGGGGTCAAAATCCTCTTTCCACAAAGTCACTGCTAGGACTTGGACTTCCTTGGTAGTGATTTGGTCAGGAAGGACATTGGTCTGAATATGTCTTGATCCAAACTGGATGAGTTGGCCTGTAAGCAGGACTTGGCGCCCAAGATCATCAACTGCTGGTGCATTGGTGTGGAAATGATGAAATTTGGCGGGGACTGCAAAATCACCTGGCACATAAATGGCAAGTTCATCTGGAACAGTTGCGGTAGCAATGGTCATGATTGGAAGTGCCTGTTCGGCTGTCAAAAGAACAACCCCTGTGCTCTGCCATGAAAATTGACTCAAAATTGGCGTAGGAGTTTTGTCAGCATTGACGAAAAAACCTTCAGTCAGCTGATACTTTGCTGGGTCGATCTTGGCTGTCGCTGCATGGGTTCGCTGTGATCGAAGCTTCTGGTACTTACCTGAAACCAGATGCATCCTAGGGCCATGCTTCGGCAGGGCAATGCTTGCCGACTCGCACAATCGTCGAAAGCTTTGTTCCTTTTCAGGCTGTGATTCTTCATGGATCATATGATGAAGTCTGGCAAGGCCTACCTTTTCAATCAACTTGGAAGTGGAATCTGTTACTTGAGGCAAATCCAAACCATACTGAAGAAATCGGTTGGCAACTTCAGATTGCACCAATTTGTGAAAGTCCATCTTGGAAGTGGGATGCTTGGTGGTCGGTCCCCCCCCGAAATTGGCATGCCGATATGCAAAACAGGGACTGTTGATGTGCCAGTGAGTCGGCTGTGGATGTCTCGGATGGTGCAAATGTCCCCACAGCGTTTTCCGGATGCATGAAGGCTCGGATTGCCTCTTCTGGGATGCAACTGTCGGATGTGCTGAAGGGCCAGCAAAAAGGTCTCACAAGCTAAATCAAAGCTCAGGGACACCTGACAGAGCGTACGACCAAACAGTTTGATCTTGACTGGAAGACCCTCTGCAGTGTGCATGGACATGAAAAGAGTGCGAACAGCATTCCAAAACAGTGCATCACGAAAAATCGCAATTGGCATGGCTGCTTCCGGAAGTGCCGGTCGAAAAAACACCCTCCAGGTACGATCATCAATGGACTGGTAATTCATTTGCCTTCCTACTTGCAACATCCATCGGCGGTGGTCTTCCGTGCCCCAAAACTGAAGGAATGCTTCACGGGCTTGCTGGGATCCTTCGCAATGGAGAATCAGGATATCAGTTTTCGGAGGACAAACCACTTCAAAGGTTACATCGTGCAATTGCCTCAGAACTGTCTGTGCAAGTGCTGGCACCTGAAAGGGTGCAACCTGATCATGGATCTCTGTGTCCCTCGTGAAAAGAGTGGATTCCTGCAAATCTCCAAACAATTCATATTGGGCTGATTGAAGGTCTGGAAAGGTCTGCTTCACCATGCGCCATGTCTTTCCATGAGCAACTTCATACATGCTCAAATCAGTGCTGGATCGGTGCAAGATGATTGTGTTTGCATCAGGTCGTGCAAGGGCTGTTTGTGTCAGCATCTCCTGGATCTCTGGAGCAAGAGGCATGAGCATGACATGTGATTCGGAGAACAATTGCATAATTGAACACTCCAAGTCTTGATGGGAAATCGGGAAATCAGGACCAATCTGGTAGTTCCACAATCGCAGCAAAGTGAGCAAGGTGACATCTTTGTGGATACGCAATTTCCCATATTCGCCTGGAATCAAAATTGGGGCAACCTGCAAAAATTCTCCCGTTTGATCTGGTGAATCCACTTGCGTGTTTGGGATGCGGTTTCTGGCAGCAATCTCAAGCTCTTGGGTGAGCTCTGGGCTGTAAAATTGCATCGGCATCAAACCTTCCTGGTGAGAGAAAAATGCTCCAGATGGCCAAGTGTTCTTTCCTTGGTGGGGCCAATTGAGTTCCTGGAGAAAAAATGCAATCGACGTTGCAACTCCTGAGTAGATAATGAAGCGCTTACATACCATGCAAAAGAATCGCTAGAAATCATGCTTGTGCTGGCCTTCAAGCGGTACGCAATCAAACGCAGGACAAGACTTGTGGCATCATCGGAAACTAGGTTCGGATGCAATGATAACAATGCATGTGCAAGGGCAAACACTGCATGCGGAACTGCTATGGCATTTCCAATCGTTTCCCATCCAATTGTGTTTGGTTTCAACAGGATCATGTCATCAACTTAGCAATGACCAAACATGATTTCAATTGGAGCAAAAAAGCGGAAGGCAATTCCTTGACGCACAAAATGTCCAAAAAGGCCCATGGTCGTCAATCGATGTGGTCGCAATGAATGTTGTTGGCCGTAAAGATGAAGAAATGTGGGGAGCTTACCCTCCAACGAAGGAATTCTATATTTCAAGATATCCTTATAGGTCCAAACTTTGGTGGCTCCAGGCATGAAATTGGCATCAAAGTAGAAGGCTGCCTGCTGGACGGTTGGTTCGAATTCACGGCACTGCTGATGGGACAGGTTGAGAATCATGTCATACTGCCGTGTTGTGGTGGAATTGGTGGGCCATTTCTGCGGCTGCATATGAGGCTGTGTGCATGCATGATGTGCAAAAACTCCTAACCACCTAGTGCGTCTGCAAGGTGTGAGATTTCCCAGGTCAAAAACTCCTTGCAAAACCGGTTCATATCCCGCCCATTGCATCAAACGCATGGCAATTGGGAAGTGCATGTGGCTTTCAAACCCTGCTACCTGTTCAATCATGGCATATTTCGGCTGGTGAATCCTACAGTGCGCAATGGCATGGGCCAACGTCAATCCATCTTGGTTGGAGAAGCCTTCTTGGCTTCCAGCAAAACTCCAGGACTTGCATGGAGCAGAAATACACCACAATGAAGCATAAACATGTTGAAGAAGCTTTTGCCAATGCATTTCTTGGATGTTCCCGCAAACCATGACATCTTCTTGCATGTGGAGCAAAAACTGTTCAGGCATACCTGCTGGGTCTCCTACCATGTTACTTGCATGTGACAAGGCGTATTGGGTGGCATACGACAATTCGGCTTCCACACTGAGGACATGATACTTCGGAAATCCCGCTCGGTGCAAGAAAGCTAAACCAAAGGCCCATCCTCCAAAGCCTCCAGCAAACTGTTCAACACACCAAGGGGTGGTGCTTTGGCTAGTCCTATCTTCTGTGTCCCACGGCAGAAGGAGCGATTGATGATCCAAGGTCACGGTCACTGGATCAATGTCTGTCACCAAGGCCTGATGAATGTACATTTCAAAGAAAACTGTGGGTCGTCTGTCCTTATCCATATGCAGATGGATAAAATCTTCATAGACAGCATATTCTGGTGAAGCTTCCTTGTGAAATGATACAAACTGGGCATCCAAAACACTTGGAGACGACATGCGTACCTTGAAATTGTCGTCAAACTGCTGAAAATGAGAGGTCACCAAATTGACCCTTTGGGATTTCATCCATGGGGCTGCTGAAATGTCATAGGTCTTGATGAGGTTGATCAATGGGACAGGGAGTGGAACATAGTTGTATGACATGGCACAATTCGCAGGCGCAGCCTAACAGGGTAGCTACGGGAAAGCTTGTGCCGATACCCTTCCTGAAATAAGGCCATTTTGGGATGATTCCCCTTACTAACCATGATTCCAGTGAGGGAGAACAGTGAGGTCGTTATAATTTACCCAGAACATATCGAAACCCTGGTTTAGTATTGGAATGGATTGGATCTGTTGATTTTTAGGGGGCCCCTATTTTGGGCTATTCAATATAGGATGGGAGCAGGTCCAAATGGGCATGGGTCAAACAGCCCTGATGGGTGATGATGGGTCAAGATTGGAGTACCAATGAAGCCACCATTTTGGGCTTATATTAACATAATTAGATTATATATATAACATTATATAACTATAATTATTATATAATGTTATATAACTATAATTATTATTGATTATATTAAATATATAACTATAATTATTATATAATGTTATATAACTATAATATACTATAATTATAATTGATTGAACATGATTGAACCGTCCATTTTCGGGGAGCTGTGTACATTTCTGAAACAACCAACCAATGACCCGTACTTGCGCCCACCCATGTGGTCCCGGGCGAGCACTGTAATTCCACCTGACAAATCGAACAGTGGTCCGGGGACTGACCGGATCAAATATCCAGTCGATGATCCAATGGTGATAACACCCAACAAGATGATCCAGTGGTAGTGTTGGAACATAACAATGGGAGGCCCACCAAGACGAAAAAAAAAACGACTGGGAGCATGCTGAGTTGCTGAGTTGCAGGCTGGAAAATCTAGCGACAATCATCGACAGCTGACGATATTTGCCCCGCAGCTTATCAACTACTGTACACAAACAACTTCTGAGCCAGCAGAATAACATGGGATACTGATGGATACTGTAATTTATAATAATAATTTCGTATTTCAATGGCATTCCAATTCCAAATAGGACAGTTCCAAAAGTGGCTACTAAGAAGAACAACACACCCGTGTGTGGTAGTTGTGCTACAACCAGTTCTGCTGGACATATCTGCAGTGTCTTTTGGGATGGTGCACAGCAACAATCTTACCCCCTTCCTAAAATATCTTCAGCCATTGCAAAATCGAGTTCTTAATCAATCACATTCCATTTACACAGTTAGACACAAACAGGCGTCATGCCAGTGAGATATCTCTTTTCAAGCACACCAGGGCTTTGCACTTCAAGTCCTTCACTATACAGCTTGAGTAGCAGACCCTATGGACCTGCCAAAACGCCTCCCTGCGATGCCACTTGAGCAGCATAAACAGCCCAAGCGGTGCCGGCAGCAGTGGGTGAAAGAATCACTTCATCGCCTTCATTGCCTTCATTGCCTTCATCGCTTTCATTGCTTTCATTGCCTTCATGGCTTTCATCGCAGGAGCCTCCTCCTCAACGGCCTTCTTCATCGACTTCATGGCTTTCATTGCCTTCATCGCCTTCATTGCCTTCATCGCCTTCATCGCTTTTATGGCCTTCATGGGCGCCATTTTTTCAGCTGCGGATCGTTGAGAGCGTGAACGAGGAGTTCTTTTCAAGAGGCTTGAACCAGAAAGAAGTGCAGCAGATGTTCCGCCAAGGTCTCCGTTCCAACACGCTGCCAAGTAATTCGCCATTATCCCTGAACCTAATCGTTTTTCCCGATTCTCCCATTTTTGTTGATGTTCCTATCATCAAAACTTATCCGATTTCAGTGAACTGGGCTGGGTGTCCCTGACCGGCAAGACCGGCAAGGCCTCGCTAAACACCGCACCTGCCTTGGTGGTTCTGCAGTATTTTGCTGGGTGAAACACATAGTAGATTAATGATGATTAATGCTGATTTACTGGTTCTTTTTTATATTTTTCTGTTTATTCATGCTTTATAATTGTTTGGTTTATGATTACTCTATATAAATTCTATGGTGATTTATGTTGGCTGAAAAGTCCATAAATCAATGGTGATTTCATGTTGCTTCCTAGCGGTGGTTCCCCTTGCTACAACCGTCACTTTGACTCTATGCAGGCGGCTCTTGGCAACAGTAACAGCACTGGGGACCGCTCTTCCACAGACCATGGGGAATTTCGATGTATCTTGAACAAACAGTTGGACAAATCTACCATCTGGTTAATTAACATAGCCATGGAAAATCCCTTATAAATGGAGGTTTTAATGGGAAAATCATCTATAAATGGGCCATTTTCCATGGCTATGTTAAATAACCAGAGGGTAATTCCAAAAAAGACAAAACAGCTATCTGAGTCTGAGTATAGTTTTCCCATGTTTTCCCAGAAAATTCCTTGAATATTGGGATCAATTGGGGATACAAATCTTGTTGAGTCGTCCCGAGGACCCAACTCCCAACACCAGCACGGGAAAGCGCATGGCGACATCTTCGCATGCAGTGCACTGATGCGTCAACCGAGTTTCCGAAAAAGAACCACCAAATTAGCCGACACGGTTTCTACAGCCAATTAAGTATGGATATGTATGTATATATATATAATTATATATAATATATATATATATACATGGCAAAAAAAAAACAACGGGTTCTTCGTGATTCGTCAAAGCTTGACTTATCATCAAAAAAACTGATGAAGTCGCCCTGTTTTTTTTGGTGAGCCATACCGGCTAACCAGAGATACAAAGGAGTGTGTGGCATACGTTCTAAAGTGCTAAGTAGGTGGTGGGGCTATATGGTTGGTTTCTGAAATAGTGGAAATTGAGCCTCAAATGGCGATCTGAATTTAGATCTTGCCCCTTCTGGATGGTGTCAAAGGCAGTTCCTTAAGAAAGCAGAACCAGCTGCTTGATGATTTAAATGCAACGATTCTGAAGCTTCAACGAAAGCATTGAATCATGAATTTGCCAAATTTCCAACACACGAGTCATCCCAAAACCTAATATCCCTAAGGATCCATGTATGGAATATTTACCTACATTGACCCCTAAAGTAATTTAAAATAATCCCAATGTAGGTAAATATTCCATACATGGATCCTCTGGGTATATAATCCAAAAAGCCAAAAAGTTCAGTCGCGCCGATTTCCCAAGCATTTGCCTATGGTACACTGAAGTCATTGCAACGTGCGCTTTCGAACGTTGTTGCAGCAGAGGCCAGCACGTGAAGGGAGAATAGCATCCAAATCATGGCTCAATGATCCCGCAATTTCTGGAATGACGCCTGTTGTTTTATTCGTTTATGAATATTTATAGAGTACATGAGATATCCCTAGTTTGCTCGGTTATACATACGCTAAATATAGCTAAATATGGGATCTTCCCGGGTATGTTGTAAAGGGTCTGGATTTTCAAGGATTTTGATACCTCATAGTTGCAAATGACCACATGAGGCAAATTATGGTGGAATTTGTCGCTGGGTTCGTGGCTTCATATGAAGAGTAATGTCCTGAGAGCAGATATGAAGGAACATTTAGCAGAACTCTGCATCAGTTGATGTTGTAGCACTCCCACATCATGATACATCATGTGTAGCAAACAAAAGGCCAATAGATGGCCAATAGACTGCATGGTGATAGTAGTCAGAAACCAAACAGGTAGGGTAGACCAACCGCCAGTAGTTTGCAGTGCTACCTGCTGTCACCGGTGCTGGTCTCCGACAGTGTCCGACGACCGCTGTCACTAAACGGCGAAGATCACTGTCGCCACCTGGCAATGGGAACAATGGGCACCTCAGCTCGCCAGAAAATCGTTGTTCTCAATGGGAAATAGGCTCTATACTAGTTTCTCTATCAGAATGATTCAGTTCATGTATCCAGGTGGGAAATGATGGGCTAGGTGCAACTATCAAAGAGTGAGGCTGGTGGCTTTGGTAACAATATGTTCTCAGGCGAATTCCAGCTCAACATAGCTCAACAACATGCCCCACATCCCCCGACTCCTCGCACGCACATCAACTGCCACGCTTGTTCAACCTCGCAATGCCGTTGCGATATGTTGCGATGATTCAAGGCTCCATGACTTATATGTTGGTACCTTCAAACCGTGCTCTCATATGCTGTTTAGAGATGTTTAGAGCACTTCTGCGACTTCTGATATCGGAAGGTTAGTTCGCTGTGGCATCTATGGGACAGAAGTGTCTGCTAGACTCGACAAAACAATATCGCGCATGTGTGTGTGTGTGCATGCATGCATGCATGCATGCATGCATGCATGTATGTATGTATGTGCGTGTGTCAAACTTGGGTACCAGCAAACCGGTAGCTGTTCAAGAACGATGGAATCATTGGGGTACCACATATGGAATCCTTTGAGCATGGACTTCTGTTCCACACGATGCTTAAAACTACAATGACTCTGCGGCAAAGTTGCCACCTTCGGAAAACCCTGCTGAAAGCAAAACAAAAAAAGAAACCATTGAGATATCTTGTGAGATTACCTTCCTGTAATCTAACATTGCCATGGAAAATGGCTCGTTGATAGATGATTCACCTATTAATGTCTATTAATCATGTTCAAACATGCTGATTTTCTGTAGCATCAGGACGTGACGGTCACCAGATCGACCGGGCCCCCTGGGCCCCCTGACGTCAGTACATGGGGGACTGCAACATGGGACCCATGTCCTGCCAGGTTGAGGGATGGCGCAGGGCAGATGATTGATTCACCTGGACTTCCAGGTACGAAAAGGTACCAAGAATCTGAACTGTTTTCTTTAGCTGACACTAAAATGCGGCTCAAAAATGTGATTTTCAACGTCCCTAGAATTTAAAACGGACGCGCCCATTCGTACCATTGAATCACCATGCTTTTCCGCCTTAAATCCCAATAATTCATGGTTTTCCATGGTCAAATCCCATTACCATCTGGTTATTTAACATAGCCATGGAAAATCACCATTTTTAATAGGTAAACCATCTATGAGTGGACCATGGCTTCCATGGCTATGTTAAATAACCAGAGGGTAAATCATCATGTTTCCAGGTTAAATTCCAGCTCCCATCTTCACTGTCCGCGGCTGCGGTGCATGGCATGGACACCTGTGGCGACGAAGGCGAAGGTGGCGCTGCAGCCTTCTTCGCCCTGGCATTGGGATGGAGAATGGGATATCGTCAATAATGGGATCTGATATCATGATTATATATTTACATATATATATATACGTACATATATATATACGTACATATATATATATATACGTACATATATATATATGCATATATATATATGTACATGTACATATGTATATATATATATATAAATACATATATATATATGTACATACATATATATATATATGTACATACATATATATATATATACATTTACATATACATTTACATATACATATACATATACATTTACATATACATATACATATACATATACATATATATATACATACATAATCATATATTATAGATCATATCATTATAGATATACATCATAGATATGCAACGATGTTGATCTATTTTATATACGACTGAAGAATCCAATGGGTTGATACCACAATGGGTTGATCAAAGTGGACATAGTCAATGGATGCACGACAGCAACCATGATGGATGGTAATATCATGGGGATATGGATGGATATGATTATAATATATGATAATATATTTATTATCTATACGGAAAAGCAGTGCATTCAACCAATAGAAACAGGGTATAAAACTACCAGTAACGGGGACATCATGTGGATAGACTGGAAATATATATATAACCACACATATGGCACAGTATCTGTGTTTTCATTCTCCAGAAATGGTGGATTTACTCCATTTCTTAGTCTTTTCTTCTGGGAAGTCCCCTATTTTTGGACAACCATGAACATCTACTGGGTTCATGATCCTCATCTCGATGCAACAAATCATACAAATCTTCCCATCAGTGGCACTTAAACAATGTGAAGCCAGCGGTGCGAAACGTCTTTCATCTTTTGTTGCATGGTCTCACCTCAAAAAATCAGGGATTTTTAGAAAGACCTCAGCGACAAGAAAATCCAAACATATCCAAACAAAGCCTTGAACCGTGAACCCACAACTAATAAAATAATAGTAATATAATATAGGCTATTAATAGTAATACCCTCTGGTAAACATACAAAAGACTATATCTTCATTTTTTCCACAACTATTTTCACACTACCCATCTTAGCAACGTCTCATGGTGATTCAGTGCTGCATCTGATGCCGAGTCCCGCGAGTACCCGGCGCATCTGATGTTGTCGCATCTTTTGTTCATAAAGTCGTTGTTGCATTTGCTGCGCGCCATCCGGCAGGACATGGAAATACGTGACAGGGATTGACAGGGCTAATGTCTAGAGATTTCGTGAATTTAGACCTGGATATCTATGGGATGTTCATGGATCTAATGGGATTTAGTGGGATTTTTCATGGGATTTAATGCTGGTTTTGGTGGAAATCAATTTTGTTTTTTGCGAACACAGCCTAAAAACAAGAATCCATTCGTCCCGTGCAACGGCATCACGTATGACATACAGTTTCCATCAGTTTCCATCAGTTTCCCATGAACCGTCGTAACGTTTAGCCAACCCCGTTGGCCCGCAGCATCACCTCTTGCATAAATCTCTGCTTGTACTCCATGATCAGTTGACTCGCCTCCAAACTGCGCAGACTGTGCCGGTGAGCCATGATGAAACTTGGCAGCATGTTGTGATCATATGCCACTGTGGAGACAAGGGATTTATGCCAACGGACTCGTTACTGTCGCACAAATCCACACATCCGCATCCGATAGTCTGGGGTGGGGTGGGGTGGGGTGGGATGATAACCCAGAAAGTCCCATTGTCGAAATTGTACTCTAAATTGGAAGCATATCCACTTGGTCTCATTACTTGACTTATGTTTTCCTGCCTGGTTGCCACCCAGAAAAGCACCAACCAGTTGCCAATTCGAGGATGTATAACCCCAAACCAAACTCCAATAGGTTAATGGATATACCTGGGTAAATTACAACAATTCACCGTATACCTGCTCAAGGCATATGACCTCTGGCTGAAAAAGTCGGGCCTGCAAAATGGACTCTGGCAATAACATACCTTCTGGTGACCCACCCACCAACCAACCAACCAACCGCCAAAAACAGACCATCAGCTGCTGTCGACCTGGTGTTCCAGTTGCGACTTCTGCTGGAACGCCGCCTCTGTCGCTGGATGGACCCGGCAGGACCCGGCAGGAGCCGGCAGGAGCCGGCAGGAGCCGGCAGAAAATCCACGATGTAAATATACAGACATCATCCTATCATAGTATGATATATGTATATGTGCAACATTAAATGAGATCTGATGACATGGCATGGCAGAACAAAACAGAACAGAACAGAACATGATGGAATACAATAGAATACTATATGAATAAAATACAGAATTACGATATCTATATCTGCATGTTTATTTGCGCGAGATGCATAGACGTGATATTTGGCATTTCAACGTCTGTTGCTGGAGGGTCCCACATCTTTTCATTCAAAAAACAGAGGGACACTTTCTTTGTATCTCCTTGGGTGCCGATGGTGAACATGGAAAAACAGCGCTATTTAGCTATGTCTGCCAGGATGATTCTTCAACCCCCATCTGGTGTTGTCCAAAAATGGGCTTTAGCAAGAAAAATGTGGGTATGAAACAGGATGAGACCAACCATAATGGGGAATGGGGATGTCTTGTGGGATAAATAACCAACAATATGATATTTGGGTTTGTCCAAACACGGGCCATAGGCTCTAAACTTGTGGCCGTCAAATAATGGGAAAACTGATGATACACCATGAATTTGGGGGTACCCCATTGTTTGGGCAAAATGAGTGCGCAGCATGTGCCAAAAAAGTAAACATGTCCTTGCCATTTTTACACAACAACCTAGAACTCAAACATGTATACTGCGCCCACTGCTCTGTTTCAATTCCTTTTTAGGAATGCAAACAACGGCCAGAAGAAGCACACAGAGTCCGAAAACGGTGCAGAATCCATCGTGGGTTGGTTCTGCCAGTTGGTTGATACAGTATAGGAGTTACGTGGAATTACTTACAGTATTGATAAATATTGATAAACCCAGTCATGAGTGATCCCAGGGCTGACCTGTTGCAGTTGCATGATCTGCGCATGGGTGTTCTCGTCCAGCTCAAACTCCTCATGGCAGGCAGGATGGCTATGGGACATCGCTAGTACGCCTCTGCAAAACAAGCATCATCGAACATCCCAAGTGTTCAATGGGACCAATAGGTTACTGCAGTTCATTCTTCTACTTGAACAATAGATCAATCGATAGATTATATTAATTATCATATTATATACTGGGTAAATTGTATACTTAATGATAATACTGGGTGTCAGCATTGATCCTGCGATCTTTTGGGGCAACATGGAAAAACACAGGTGCGAATCGAATTGCGCAAGGTCAAAACTCATCTACGGTTCCCAGCTGCTAGCCTATACATATCATAATGTTGTGTCTGTGTATTTCACACAAAAACATATACACTTACAATTTTATACATATATCCAATTGTATTGTTTGAAACGTTATAATTGTAACTTTTATATATGTGCATTTGCATACATACATACATACATAATCATACATATATATATGCACAATTGTGAACCAATAATATCTGTCAGGTCTCCTTCTGTAGCATTTCCTCCTCAATTTGCATAGTAAACCTGGAGCGCTTCAGTGCTGTGAATTTCCGGATTTCACCGAGAAAAATAGATCGTTGACCAACCATGAATGACCGTTGGATACAGGTTGATTTTTTCAGAGGGCCCCCGAATTTTTGAGGGGATCCAAATTATCCCGGCAAGAGACCCCAAACAGGGTGGGGAAGTAAAAGGATAATGCGTTATAATGTTGATGAAGATGTTAATGTTGATGGTGGTGTTGGTGATGATGGTGATGTTGATGGTGAGGATGATGATGATGATGATGATGGTGATGGTGATGGTGATAGTAATGATGGATGAAGAAGATGATGATGATGATGATGATGATGGTGATGACGAGGATGATGATGATGATGATGACGACGACAACGATGATGATGATGATGACGACGATGATGATGATGATAATAATGTGGAAAATGAAGTGGAGGATGAAAAAGGTGGAGGATGATGATGTAGAGAAGAAGGAAGATGATGATGTTGAGGAGGAGGATGACAAGGATGAGAATGTTGCGGAAGATGAGGTGGATGATCATGATGTTGCGGAAGATGAAGTGGAGGATGATGATGTTGAGGAGGAAGACCCATCCCAAGACCGGGAACACAATTGTGCGAGCCTGCGCAGTCGAAAGGCATGTCAAGATTTCACAAGAGCCACTTTCGACGGAAATTTACAGGGAAAATGCCGCCGGCCAGAGTGAGCACCCTGATCAAGCACCGGCCTTTGCTCCTACCGTAAGAACCCCTCAGTGTGGACACACTGTTTGGGGAAAAATGGATAGCGTGTGAGCTGTTCGATATCCCCATTTGAAATATGTTAGATGGTCAGACTCCCAATGGTTGGATGTTGAAAGAAACTAGCAACCTGTCCTTAATGTTGGAGACGTGGCACATGTGTCACATGTGGTTGTTGTTGAGGCCAATGGACTGACAAACCCTGTCAAATTTGATCTGGTAATTCACTCACTCTGCCCAACTCTGGCAATCAAAAATCTCACTTCAGTATTGATAATGTGCTAAAAATGCTGGTTGTCCACTGCCAGATTAGATGACCAATAAGTATATCTACCTATATAACTGTCTATCAGGTGGAAGATGTATGCTGACAGCCTTGGAACAAAGTTTGCACACATATCCACCTATCTGTGACATGGTAAACTTGCTGACTGATCATCCGATGTCCGTCCCGCGTTGCGGGCAATCCTTATCATATGGATGTAACCATGAACATGTTCTGACGGCTAAATCTGCAGTGTTGCTTGGTTAGTTAGGTGTCTAACCATAAATTAAAATCTCCTAATGGATTATGATAATCCCCCAATATCCCCCATTTTTTTGCTTTGTAGGTTAGTATAGCTATGATTATATAGCTATGTATAACTCGCTATAAATATCTATAAATCCCATTCCCATTGAAAATATTGAAATCATGATTATTTTCTGGGGAAATAATCATTGGATTATGATAATGCAATAGTTATTTGATTATCTTAATCCAATAGTTGGATTATCATAACCAATGGTGAGTAATAACCATTATCATTAAAACTCTTCTCTGTTCTTATTTGGTGGTCATTTTATCCACATCACCATTGATTGTATAAATCCCAACAGATTTCATACATGGTGAACTCACTCGCAAAAACCTCGAGGTTCCTCGAGGCGACCCAGGTCCTAAAACGGTGAGCTTCCGCACTTCATCTTCTTCTCTTCCGCGGCGTTGCGCAAGATGTCCAGGGCTTGAGCTGGGCGATGCGGGGAACACGGGGGGTTCACCAAACATGCTTGGAACATGTATGAAGATGTGAAAAAAACATGAGCAAACTACGGATGGGGGAATGAAAAAAGATGGGACGTCAAAATGGAGATTATCTCATTATCTGTATACATATATTATATTTACAATAGAAACATATAGAAACATATTATAGATATATATACTGTTGATATACATTGATATATTCTAATGTCGGTGTGTACAATCTGTATATACCCATCCACTTAAATTGTGGCCGTGTGCTGTCCCTATTTCTCAATGGCTCAACTCATTGCCCATTACCCATGCTTTGAGATACCCGGCCTGGTAAACGTTAACAAAAAAACGATGGAAAATCACCATTTTCAATGGGTAACTCCACTATAAATGGTCATTTTCAATAGCTATGTTAGTCATTACCAGAGGGTAGACCTATTTCATCCATTTTCATCCAAGTTATCCAAGTTTGATGCATCCCTTATTCATCTGAAGAGACCAAAAACCTCATGGTACCTCGGTGACCTGGGTTCCCGCGCTTTTTTGATCATGTATTGTTTTGGCACCGGATTCTAGCTGCTGATCCAAAGCTCTTGACTCAGCAATGTCGCAGGTCAACAAAACATGTACCCTCTGGTAAACTAACATAGCTATTGAAAATGGCCATTTATAGTGGATTTTCCCATTAAAAATGGTGATTTCCATAGTTATGTTAAATTACCAGAGGGTAACCCAGCTGGTTGGGCAACAGTCAGGTGGTCTTCAAACCAGTGAGGTCTGTGGCAGACCTGAGCTTGGGACATAAGCCTCCTTCTGATTCGCAATGGAAGCAGGGGTGGGCCTGAGGAGCACAAAGGACCAGCCGACCCAAAGATTTCATGGACAGTTCCCCCGACATCCATTGATCTCCAGTTTGGATGGTAACCATCCTCATTTTGGATAGTAAAACCATTCTAAAACCACCATTTTGGATGGTAAATCCACCCTTTGTTCAACAGTTTTGGTTGGTTCTATTTTCCATTTTCATTGTGAAATGCAATTTTTCATGCTGCGAAATTCTGCTTTCTGAAGATCTCCATGTTGTTTTCTTGCAGTTGTTCATGGTGTTTTCTCCATGTTTTTCTCCACATTTTCACCATGAAAAAACCACCAGACTTCCATCGAGGTCGCCACATGTTCTCCGTCTGCCTCTTAGGAGGTGGACCGAGTTCCTGCGAAGTTTGAGATGGGAAATTTTGAGATTATTAATTATTAACTTTGATCTACAGTGCATAATATATATATATATATAACTATAGTTAAATATATAACTCTACTATAGTTAAATATAGGACTACACTATAGTTAATTTATAACTACGGTGTTAATTATGATAAATATTACTACAGTATATAACTCTATAGCTATGTAAGTATATAACTATAGAACACACACACATATATATAATTATTGAATGTCATAGAATATATATATAATACATATATATATATATATATAATATGATATAATAGTAACATATAGTTACATGATATTGATTCATGGGGAACTTAATGATCAAGTCAGATGGGCTTACCGGGTATTCCATATGATCAACTCCCCTGGGATGACTTTTCCCATCCCCTTTATGGGATGGTTGAGTTGGTGAGCTGAAATTTGCACATTGGTTTAGTGTGTCAGGAACTCAGACGCTTCTCATCTAAACTTCCTTTCATGCTATATTTTATCATATATCTTTGTGGAACAATCAAGCTGGGGCATGCGGATGATATCAAAAAATCACTGGGCATGGCATTGAGGATAGAAACCATCAGAAACCACATTTAAAACAATCGAATCAACAAGTGCAAACTGGGATATCAAAGGTCAACAATGCAGGGACCTGGGGACCACTCAAATTCCAAAGTGACCCAAGTGTAATGGACTGCGCCAATTCCCACCTTCTTCAACATCCCCACCAGCCGTTTTATGCTACTTTCCGTGCAGCAGAACCGATCAGACACTTTAGTTGAGAATCTGACGAATCCCAACAAAGGCACTTAAAACTCAAACACACATGGATTGTCATGAAAATATTGTCATCATATGTCATCATATCCCCATTAAAAAATGGTCATCCCGTGGGGCGCACACCATCCCATGGGATCCCGAACCTCTAGCGGTGACAACGGTGCCATCTGTGGGACCTGCGGAAGCACCTGTGTCACAGGTGTACCCGCCACCTGCCAAGGGATCTATGAAGGGCCAAAGTCGCAGCACCCAAAGATGGCATGGTTGATGATGGCTATAGTTAGCTTATGTTTGCTTTACATTGTCAGTCCCAGGATCTCAAAATCGGGCCCATACATGCCCATACCAGGACTCCAGATACGTTGTAGGTAGATCGCCAGCTGCTTAAAACACCGTTCGGTCATGGGTAGTTGTGTTAACTGTTCCAACGGTTTCCTATTCCCCAAGGATTGCTTCTGCACCCGAAAGTCGTCACACTGGGACCAAGCAGGAAATCCATATCCACGACAGCTGGTATGTCTAGACAAGGGTTCCTGGCACTAAATCACAAGTGGTTTTTTTTCTCTAAGGATTCTCTATCCTTACCCTAAATGAGCTGAACGTGGTAGAAGCAGCTATCAAAACTATCAAAAGGTCCTGCCATGTCCTGCCCACTCAAAACTCAAACAGAGTGTAGAGTCTTGAAATCGACACAATGGATTTGCAGAAAGCAATTATATGAAGAGTCCGACAGCATATGGATGGCTTTGAAGGTGAGGATTCGAGCTGAATGCCGTCACTGAAAAACACAAAAGTTGATGCAAAAACCATGGTCGACTGGTTTTTGTATGGATCTAAACATATTTAAGAGCTCCAAATGTTTTTGCAAGCAACATCATCAGCAAACTTATGCAAATTTCGAAGACCGCATGTTTTGCACCGCAACAAAGGCTTCAGCACCATGGCCGCCCATGGCCGACCCTTCAAACCCAGCCTGCCATTGCTGCGGGCTTTGCCACTGCGGCGGACTTTGGACAGAAATCTGCCTGTGTAGGGCCCCTTTTTTCCGCACCAGGATGACCCCATCCCATCCCCAAATGGGGAACCGCACCTCTTATCAAACAGCGAGGAAACTGGCTTCCGGTGGCGTCCGGATCCGATCAGATTCTTTTTTTTTTCCCCACAATTTACTACTCTCTGGTTATTTAACATAGCCATGGAAAATGGCCCATTTATAGATGATTTTCCCAGCTAGAAACCTCCATTTATGGTTGGGATTTTCCATGGCTATGTTAGTCATAACCATAGGGTAAGTGAAACCATTCAGTGACTGAGGCCCTCAACATCCAAAAACTTCCGCCCATTGGCGGTTCCGCGCCTAGGGACGGCTGGCTGCAAGCTCATTGGCGATCCCCGGAGATCCACTGGCGCGCCCACGCAATTTCTGCGAAAAAAAGCTGCGGTGAAAAAACGGCTTTTTGTACATCGATATCTATGTGTATCTATGTCGTTTTCTTTAGTAATCCCCAGAAAGATAGAAGTTTGTAAAATCCTACTAGAATAGAGATCATTCTTGGACGGTACTGTGTAGAACATGTAATTCAGTCTAATTGTTCATCTATCTATATCTATCTATCTATCTGTCTATCTATCTATCCATCTAATTATCTGTCTGTCTGTCTGTTTGGCTGTCTGTCTGGCTAATCTATCTGTCTATTCTATCTAGCGATCGAGCGATCTAGCTATCTGTATGCTAAATGTGCTAAAACAGTCTAAGACGTCGGTATTTAATATACCAAGCGAAGCTTGTGCCTCAAAATCATCCCAAATCATCCCAAATCAGTGGAATTTGCCGTTCCCCAATGCTTGGTGCGCATCGGTGCGCCCATTTTTGAATTGATCCTGTCTCGCCAGCCCGTTCAAGATCTCAGTATGTAAAAGGCTTAAGGATGGTCGGGGCAAGGTTGCGGGTTGCCAGTGTGATGAAAAAAGGTGAAGGTTGGCTCAATCTTCTGCTGTTATATAATCGCCACAAGTGCTTACAATATCTTGCAATTGCATCAGGTGCGAGGATGCTTTTCAGCGTACGGAGTGCTGCCAAGACATGCATGGCCAAGCATTGTCCATCGTTTTGTATTTGGCGTGGCACTCTTGGTGTACCCGCTAGTGAGTCCTTGTCCGAAGAAATAGCATCAAACAGCCGCCAAGCATAGCACAAATTGATGAGCACCAGCATCATGTAAGATGGCAACGATCAACTCGCAGCTGAGTTTGGAAGCATCCAGCTGACATTGGAAAGTGACGATACAAGCCTGCGCTGAGCAGAGCACAGCGCCAGCTCCAGGGAGCTCCATGAAGCCGTCAGTATTTTGCTGCCTCAGCTGGGAGCGAATTGACAAAAGGCCAGAAAAAGGAATCACAGGAGGCCAACAAAATCCGACCCTTTACAGCCTTGCATCTGGATGAGAATCAACAAAAAAAACTCATTCCTTCCACCACAAACCCTCGTTATAGTCTGGCAACACCGTGGCTTGGCTTTCTGCAAAGTTGGCTGCGCCACAGATTCATAATGAACTGGTCAAGCTGCAAACCTGTGCTCACGCCGGATCCTCGAGTCGTGCTCCCATTCCCAGTGGCCCAGTCGTGGCAGTTGTTGGAGGATCGCATCTGGGATCCACTCAGGACTTCTTCTTAGGCAGCTCACACTCCTCCCCGCCAGCGCCAGCCGCGGCGACAGCGACGCCCCAGAAGATGCGACCCCAAACGTCGATGGTGCTTTGCTGGGTCAATGACCTAAGGTCATCTCGGTGATGGAGGGTGCCATCCAATGCTGGGTGAATGGTTGTTCTCCCAGCATCCATACCCTCTGGTTATGTCAATATAGCTATTGAAAATGGCCATTTATAGTGGATTTAACCATTAAAAATGGTGATTTTCCATAGTTACGTTAGTTTACCAGAGGGTATATGGTTTTGTCTGAAAATATGCTATCCATGGCTATCCGATATCCCTAAAATACACTGCTGAAAAAACCGTGTGATGCACCCAAGTGGCAGGTACAAATGCCAGCACGACAAAATAAGCATGTCCACAAAGAGTCCTGCCAATTTCTGCGGTGGTCGACTTAGGGTGCAGTAAGCATGTTGCTATGGGTCATTCACTAATTCAATAATAACTAAAATAATAGTTTAATAGATCATGCTAAACCTGCCCAAAATGCCTGCATCTCAGGCCTAGCACCTCAGATTTTCACCCCTGTGACATCCTGTGACAATTATAAACACCATAAGCCCAATTTTTCCTCACATTTTTGACCTCTCCTGTCCTAGTGCCAGAAGCCAGGTGACTACTAGGTGTGTGGGCAGCCTCCTCCAGTCCAGATCACCTCTATGCAGCAAATGCTTCGCGGCAAGTAGAAGCTGCCAGCCGTGCACCAACAAGACAAACAGCAACCAGAGCAGCTGAATGACGAGAATCCAGTGGAAGTGATGGCCTCAGCTCGGGGACCCCGGGGACATGCACCAAAATTCACTCACATGAGATGGATAGCAGGCCTACGATCAGTTGAGATGAGATATAAGATAGGATAGAGGTAGAGATAGAGATAGTGAGATAAAGATAGAGAGAGATGTTAGAGCCAATGAGAAAACGAGAGAGAGAGAGAGTCAATTAATAATATATATTTATAATCATATTATATATATATACTGTATGTATACATATATACACTATATAAATACGTAGATATGTAATACAAATCAAATATGTACATACATAGTAGATATGTAGATATCGATATATATATAGTACAGTAAACGAACGTACATGATATATGGTGTGTATAATATGTATATATATATATACACATACATAAATATATATATATATATATGTATGATTCTCCATGACTTTCCCATACGTATATTTGGGGGAGATGAAGAACCAGGAATACATGATAAGTATCGGGTCTACGGGTCTGCGAGAGCTATGTTTCTGCGAAGAAAACCACAGTGATTTGATGGGCTTCGACCGTCTGAAACCTTCAAAGCACCTAATTTGACCGCCTAGCTCTTCGAGGTTGCTTGGGTAAAAAAAAGACATGGGGGAGACCTAATTTTGGGACATACCTTGACAAACCATGACTAATATCACCGGTCATTTGCCTTTTTCAAGGTCGGAGTTCCTAGGTCACAAAAAATCCATGGCTTTGGGGTAAGCCCTTCCCCCATCTTGACCAGGTTCAACATGCTTCAAGGGCTCATGGCTCCAGTCTTTGCGTAGCCAACTTGCTTCGTCCAAGGAACGATTGTGCAGACCAACACATGTGTTGGTCAGGCTGCAATGGTGGTCCATCTTCAGAACACAGCGGTTGCAGCGACTGCAGTGATGAGTGCCTTGAGTCACTGTGAACGGAACACAAAGTGGGGCAGCTGGTTGGACTATCATTAAACCACCATTAAACCACCATTAAACCACCATTAAACCACCATTAAACCACCATAAACCACCATAAGTTCTGTGGTTTCAGCATAAAGACTCTCTGACTCTCCGACAAAAACCCCTCCATGTCTCCATGTCTCCATGAGTAGAACCACCTGAAGCAGCTGAAGCCCTGGAACAACGGGCCGCCTGCAGGCTTTGCTCGATCGCAACGCTTGCAAGGCTCTGGTCGCCTTGCCCAGACTAGATGATATGGATAATATATGGATAATAAATTGATAATATATGGATAAAAAAAAATAATATATGGATAATATATGGATCATATATGGATAATATACGGATCATATATGGATAATAAATGGATACTATATGGATAATATATGGATAATATATGGATAATAAATGGATAATATATGGATAATAAATGGATACTATATGGATTATGGATAATATATGGATAACCTATGGATAATGTATGGGTAATGCATGGATAATATATGGATTATGGATAATATATGGATAATGTATGGATTATTGATAATATATGGATAATTTATGGATAATGTATGGATAATGCATGGATGATATATGGATAATATATGGATAATATATGGATAATATATGGATCATATATGGATAATAAATTGATAATATATGGATAAAAAAATAATATATGGATAATATATGGATCATATATGGATAATATACGGATCATATATGGATAATAAATGGATACTATATGGATAATATATGGATAATATATGGATAATAAATGGATAATATATGGATAATAAATGGATACTATATGGATTATGGATAATATATGGATAATCTATGGATAATGTATGGGTAATGCATGGATAATATATGGATTATGGATAATATATGGATAATGTATGGATTATTGATAATATATGGATAATTTATGGATAATGTATGGATAATGCATGGATGATATATGGATAATATATGGATAATATATGGATAATATATGGATCATATATGGATAATAAATTGATAATATATGGATAAAAAAATAATATATGGATAATATATGGATCATATATGGATAATATACGGATCATATATGGATAATAAATGGATACTATATGGATAATATATGGATAATATATGGATAATAAATGGATAATATATGGATAATAAATGCATACTATATGGATTATGGATAATATATGGATAATCTATGGATAATGTATGGGTAATGCATGGATAATATATGGATTATGGATAATATATGGATAATGTATGGATTATTGATAATATATGGATAATTTATGGATAATGTATGGATAATGCATGGATAATATATGGATAATTTATGGATAATATATGGATAATGTATGGATAATATATGGATAATATATGGATATTGTCTGAAAATTGAATAGTTATCTTCAAATACCTCAAAAACTTTGGCCAATCCCGGTCAATCATCATACCTCTGAGTTTTAGATTGGCCTTGTAAATGGCGGGGTCCCTAGATCTACTTTGATGTTAGATATGTTAGGAAACCGTTGACAGGTTTTAAGGAGATCCCAAGTGCAGGGAAAGTCTTCCCAATTACAAAGACACCAACAACATATTTATCTCCCCCGAACATATCCCATCCCATCCCACTGATATGGAAATGTCCAGCTTCCCTCATAGACTCTCCAAGTCACTCCGCACCAATGGCCAGGGCTTCTGCCACAGCTTCCTCGAAGCATGGAGGACTGCCAGGCTCCACTCGGAGCAACTGAAGATAGCGATACAACCTCGGCTTGTGTCAAAAATACTGGAACCATACATTTTGGCGGGTCATTTTTAGGACGTCCAATTGTCTAAAATTTGGGTGTCAATCGTTTTTCGACAGACACAATATCCGACCCATTAGCGAACTTGGTTAGTTTTGTGTCTTTTTAGCACGGAAGAAGACTCCGGAATCTGGTGGGGAAAATAATGTTCACTCATTGTTGAGTGGTCATATATTATCCATAAATTATCCATATGTTATCCATAATCCACATATTATCCATATAATATCCAGAGTGGTCATAATTGGGGTGGAAAAGCCATTTTTTTGGACGTGACGATAGCTTTTCAAAGTTTTTGAAAGACAAGCTTCGATGCAGAAGGCCTAGCTTTCAGAGCTGTAGTATTGTTATGAACATATTCGTACCAAATGTCCAATATGTTTTTTCTTAAAGACCGTTCAATATGCATTTTGTTAATCGCATTAAGACTGCTCTTCTGCCACTACAGGAACTGCCCTTCTGCACAGAAAACATGTTTCCAGGATGTTGCAGTTAATAATCATTCGGATATCTCTATATATATAATAAAATAATAAATATCTAATATTGTTTTGTTATATTGAAATACCAGTACCTCATAAATTCCAGGTGTCCTGCTTTTCTATCTACACTTGTGGGTTGCTATGCTGCTATACCCCCAAGTAGTAAATGACAATCAACCAGCTTTGAGACAACAGCCACGTGGCCAAGAAAAGAGGAGGACACCGAAAATTCCGGTTGTCCAGAACTTCGTAGAAAAACCTCAACGCACCGCTGATCCCCGGTAGAAAGAGACCGCACTAAGACCGGGCGAACAAATCACTTCAGGGACAAACGGATGCATGTTGGACATTCATGCAATATGTTACATGTTTCAATGATACAAAATATATATGATATACATTGTAAGTTGTAAGTGTAATTTATTAATTGAAGATGATTGATACTTACAGTATGTCATACAAACGGAAACTATGTACTACAAATCATTTGAATGATCTATGAGCTCAACCCCAAATAACAGCCTTAAAAAAAAACTAAAAACATCTAAAAAGCCTTTTGGCATTCAAAATGCCAACAGCCATGCAACCTTCAAGTCGCGGAAGCACCACTATGAAATAGACCAGCACCTGCGGGGGCTCTAGTGGATTAATGTTAATGCGGCACTGGAACTCACCTGGTCACCCTTCCATTCCCGGCTGGGTTCCCCTGGCTGTGTATACCACAATGCAATTTCCTGAGCAAAAAAAAAGCGACTCTGGAGACTGGTTCATGTAGGATTTACATGGAATTATCACCGCTGCTGACCCCTGTGCGCTGCTGTCAGTGACACACACCATTCATGTTAATATGCTCCATTGTCATCTTGGGTGCAGGATTTGCTACTGTGACTGTGACATGAATTATCCGATAAGCAGCTCATGCACAGAAAGCTGCTCTATTGTGGTTTTCAGCAGCCTTGGCAGCTCTATTGTAGCTTGATGCGGACTCCCTAAGACGCACCAATCAACGCACCAATGTCCGAGTTTTGCCTCAAAATCTCCGTTTCCTAACCCCGTTGGACCCGTGGGACGTCATGCGAATGGATTTTTCTCATTTGATCCAAAAAATCATGAGCCAATTAGCCAGTCATTTTTAATTTGATCCGAAAAAGGCATCCAAAAAATCATGATCCAAAGGCATTTGGATGCCTTTTGTTGCCATGTCACCAATTTTTCATTCACCGAGCCACCAATCAAAGCGATTGCAAAACCACACATGGTCGATGCAATGTCGAAGCCCACCCATAGCCATCGGCCATTCGGACAATGGATCCAGCTATATCCAGCTTGTTAAGTAAGGCATTTCAGATGACAACTGCAAGTCATGGAAAACTTCTTTCAGGCCATTCAACACAGAGAAGCCATGGGCCATGAGGTTGAATTCTCATTTTCTATGGAACAAAATGGAACAAATACTTTTAGCGAAGACTGTGAGCCACATCCTGACACAGACAAGTCAGTCATCAGCTATCTGCCAATCGAAGTGTCCTGCAATAGTTGGATCATGTTGGATCGTGTCCAGTTCGATGCGATGCAAAAATCCCACCGAAACTCCAGTTCGCAGTTCGCGCGTAGGCGTAGTCTGATGCGCATTGAACTTGCAAAACTCTCTGCAGCAAACTCAAGACGTGCCACCTACCTGCAGGATGTCTAAAAATGTCCGAAGCAGTCAATTGCGCGAATGACAAGTCAGAACAACAGACTGGTCCAAACACTCGTTCCTCACAACATGGGATGATAAACGCTATTTTAGACTTTAAGCAAGAAATGTCAGAGAAGAAAACAAGAGAAAACAGGTTTGGAGTCCTCCTTGTTCTTTTCTCTCCTTTGAAGTTCTCCTTAAGTCAGCAGATTCCTCTTTTTCCAACCATTCAGCAGCTCCTCGGCCACACCAGTGCGGCCAAAGCCAGCACCACTGGGACCAGCTGCAGTGCTGCGCTGCGACCTCCCGAACGAGGCAGCGACTGCTCCGGAACGAGGAGAAACTCCACCAGCACGGGGTCGTGCATGTTGAGGGTGGCCCAATCCTGGAAGTGTCCCGTGTGGGACATCCAAAATGTGCCAAGTGGCACAACATTCAGCTGGACCCTGCGATCATTCCAACTGTAGCATCTTGAGAGCATTGGAAAATCATGAGAGCTGACACAACATATGCTACAAAGACGGTGTCGCCCAGAGAGGGTCGTATCACACCTTGTCATTGTGCACAAGCTTTGGGGAAAAATCCTCCAGAGACACACAACAATTAAATGACATTACGAATCCCAACCAATTCAGTGCAATGCAAAGATGACACAGATATCCCAAAGAGATCCAAAATGATATGGCACCAACTCACAGCAATTCCGGCACAGCCATTTTCGAGGCAAGAGTCAGGGACATGATGTGTGTTTTCGTTTCCAAAAGGCAAAGTCGTGGCTTGTGAACCAATGGACTCGAAATTGCTTGAAATGATGCGGTCGTACTGGAAAAAGTAGGCGGGATAGCAACAGGTCAGATGCACATCGCTACCCAGGACCCTCCTGGGACAGGGCTGTATCAGTTCCGTTGCTGCAGACAACTCCAGCCGAATTGCCCCTATTGATTTGATTTGATTCCGCAGGTAAATCCCAGTTTGATCGCCAATTTCTGCTACAAGTATGTTTCTACCAATCTTCGATTTTCACAACACTGAAAATCACCAGAATCTGATCTCAGGCTGCGCTCCGCACCTCGCCGTAGGATCCAGGTCTTGCATGATCTCCAAATTGCTCTTTTGCTGGTTGGTGTCTGCCAACAGCAGCACCTGTGCTTCCAACAAATGTATACAAATGTCGCTTTTGGGAGAAACTCGACAGCCCGAAGGCTCAGTGATCTCCCTATCTCAAACCCACAATATGAACCAACTTCAAACCTATCACATGGGTCATTAAATGTCCCCATTGAACATCACCCAACCATTCGGTATATGGTCTATAATGGCTACTATAAGGTGATGTCCAATATTCCCAAAATGGGACAGTTCCCAACCCCTGTATCATAACATATCATAACCTATCCATCTCTGAAACCACTGGGGTCGCTGGCCCCCAAAACGCCTCATCCACCTTTGCACGCTCTTTCAGCTGTGCTAGGTCCGCAGCCATCATCTGCACACCAGCCTTACAGCGACACAACTGGCGCGGGCGGGTTGTGGGTGTTTGGATGTCTCAATCGCCCATTCAACAACATTTCTGGTGGATTCTGGTGGGATGTTGTGCATGAATGCATTTGAAACATGGTCCGATGGAAGTTATATCATGTTATATCCCAAGAAAATGACTGGGTAACAGAACCCATCAACAGTGACAGCAGGTGTCTGAGGGTATAGAAAAGTTAAACCTGGTATAAAAAAAATTGAACCCAATAGAACACGCACAGAATCCCCCCTTGAAGGGTGAACCTCGCCTCATATTTGCCGGTGTGCGGATAATGGGCCACCAAAACGAGAAGTTCCAGCCCTGTGTCCTGCGCGGGAAGAGAACACCACAATCAACTCTCAGGCGAAACTCCATGGGTCGGTATCACTTCTGTAGCTCATTTACAGGTGTAAAGATCCATTGTTGAAATTTTCTAGATATATCATAGATATATTCATATATCATCATATATCCAATAAACCCATATAGTAATGATGATAAACTCATAAATATGTTGCATATGTTGCGTATCAGGAGCACATTTCCGCTCCTTGTGGACAAAGACTTGGCCGACGTAGGCGCGGTAATCGTTCTCCTTGGGCCCGTCGATATGGAGGGTGTCCCATACCATCCATGCATGGTATGATGGTGTATTTACCATTACTATCCATTATCTACCTATACATTTTGTTTTTTTTCCCCACCTGCCAGGTGAGGGTTGTTAGATTTTATGTCAGTTGCCTTCTCCTCCTCTCCTCTCATCTCCTCTCCTCTCCTCGTCTCCTCCTCTCCTCCTCTCCTCTCCTCCTCCTCCTGCTCAACCGCGACCCTCCACGCTCAGTGTGCCCTGCCGGACCTCAACCACCACCATCCCCGCCCAGTGTTCCCTGCCGGACCTCAACCGCGAGTATCCCCGCCCAGTGTTCCCTGCCGGACCTCAACCACGACCATCCACGCCCAGTGTTCCCTGCCGGACCTCAACCGCGAGTATCCACGCCAAGTGTTCCCTGCCGACCTCAACCACGACCATCCACGCCCAGTGTTTCCTGCCGGACCTCAACCGCGAGTATCCACGCCAAGTGTTCCCTGCCGGACCTCATGTAGGAAGATATGGGACAGAAGAATGCCAGATAGAATGCCAGAAGATATAGATATGCCAGATAGAATGCCAGAAGAATATGTCAGAAATATATGCCAGATAGAATGCCAGATGCCCAGATAGATATGCCAGATAGATAGAATGCCAGAAGATATGTCAGAATATATGCCAGATATGCCAGATAGAATGCCAGATAGAATGCCAGAAGATATGTCAGATAGAATGCCAGAAGATATGCCAGATAGAATGCCAGATAGAGATGCCAGATGCCAGATATGCCAGAACATATGCCAGAAGATATGCCAGATAGAATGCCAGATAGAATGCCAGAAGATATGTCAGATAGAATGCCAGAAGATTTGCCAGTAAGAAAATGTATAAATGTCATGGTGGGGATCACACGAAGTAAAGTAATTGATATTTTTGGGGTAGTTGTAGGTTAGATATGGTTAGATCTCTGTCACCTCTAAAATGCTCTGGGTTCCAATATTAGTGCCGAGCTAAAAACAGAGCTTGAAAAATCAGTGCCCAGAGTTGGTTGAAAGGGAAACATCGAACAGGAACAGGAACCCAACAGGACCCCCATAATTAATCGGCTGGGAAAATCCGTGGAACCCAGTGAATAAGGTGAAATGGTGGGTCAAGACCCTGGCACCTAGTGAACCCCAAAATAGCTGGTAAATGGATGTTCATCCCATTAGAATTGATAATAATAGGTTTTGAATGGTTTTGACCCACCCCCAATTTTTGGACTGTGTCTCAAAAGGCTTGTTTTGCACAACATAATCAACATATCACAGAATGATCACTTGCTGGAAGGCAGTACCGTGTTAGCGAGCCTGCATGGCTATCAAAAGGTGCCACAACTTAGCTTCTCTACATGTCACATCATTTGAAAAGTAAATTGTCTAGCACATACTACCATTACGTGCAGTTGCCTGTCCTATTTGGCTTTGGGTACCCAAATTTCATGGTTGATCAGCTCGTCCCACTAGTGACGCTGCCCATGTCCTTCGAGGACTCGTTCACCTTGTCCATACAGCCACCAATGGTCAGCGGGCTGCCAGCCGTCTCTTTCACAGCCCATCTGGCGCTGAAGACGATGGTGGCCACGTCGAAGGGGTACATGCCATAACCTCCAGGTGCCACCAGTGTTGTGTTTTTTCACCTGGAAGGTTAGAGTTAGATGAGTTAGAAACCTCCAGCTACAATGCTACACACTTCCATCACTTCCATCGGGGCAGCTTTCCCCATCTGCCTTGGGATCCACCGCACTGATGTTGAAGATGACCCAGCTCATGGGAATCCTGAGCTCGCCCTTGGGGCGGATCGTTTTCGGTTTTTCCCTGCAGGTCATTCTGCAACCCCAGAAAGCCTGAGAGGTCCAAAAATAGAAAGCTGTTACTAATCCAAAACAAATCCAAGATTCTACCTGGTCAAAGAAACTTGGATCAGACAGCTGTTCGAGACCAGCAAAGTCCACCTCTGCCAGAAGGCTTCGAAGCAAAGAGGTTGCATGCCTGACTGCGCGGAGAGTTGGATCACTGTGAAACGTGGTAAGAAAAAAAAACACATACCAAAACCCAGTTTCTTTGCGTTTCCTGCCTCCCCCACTTTTTCTTTTGGAGTACAAATCCAACTATGGACTATGTTTGCCTATTTTGTAGCTTTAGTACCTCCATGCTGGGATGTAAGGGGACTGGGATATGAATGTGTCTTTTCACATGGGTATACCTCCAAATGGCACTTCCTTTTTGATGATGATGGTTACAGGGATCAACTTCTAAACGGCGTTTATCTCAACGGGGGGCATGGTAGAAGTGCTATGGAACCTGGTATGGCTTGCTATGATTCTTCATCTTCCTGCGGCCTGAGAAGCACCAAACCCTGGACCATCCTGGACATCCTCCGGATGCGTAAATTTTACCAGGAGAATGATGAAATCAAATCCCTGGATCAACAGGCCGAGCTTCTGCTGACAGGAGGGGTAGTGCGCGTCACAGTGGGGGGCCTTTTTGGTGGACTTGCAGGACAGGAAACACTCCGAATGGAGATTCCACCTGGCTAAGACTGCAGCTGCCAATCTTGAGCAGATCATGGTTAAATGGATAAAACTACCGGAATCGTGAAGCTTTTATCTTCAAATTTCTTCAGGCAAATTGGATCAATTGATGGTGTCCTGCTCCTTCTCCCCACTCCTGCCAGCAATCCCATTTGAAAATTGTTCGACCTTGGTCAGTTTTGGCTATCTGTAGCCATCTGTAAAACCATACGTTTCCAAGAAATGACACCCGTCCACACCTCAAAACATCCTGAAAGAATTGGGCCATCATCCCCAATTTCAATTGCGGTGGATATCAAGGCAATGCGAGGGATATACATTTACGCACACCATGTTCACCATTGAAACTATGATCTGGATGCAATCTTCAATCTTTTCCATCCCATTGGTAAACCATATATCAACATGATAGACGATACATCGACAACGGTACCAAGATAACTATGGGAAATCACCATTTTTACTAGGTAAATCACCATTTTTACTAGGTAAGTCAACCATAAATGACATTAAATGGCCATGTTCAATACCTTTTTGTATGTTTACCAGAGGGTAGTTGGCCAAGAATAAGCCTCCAATTTCGGATGGTCCCAGGCACTGAAGCACTTTCAGGCTCTGAGGTCGGCTCACCTGGCTGGCCCAAGATCTAAGATTTGTGGTAGATATGGTAGATATACCATCTGGTTATTTAACATAGCCATGGAAAATCCCTTATAAATGGAGGTATTCATGGGAAAATCATCTATAAATGGGCCATGTTCCATGGCTATGTTAAATAACCAGATGGTATCCAAAGTGGCATGGGTGTAGAAACCTATCTATGATTGGAGGGGCCTTCTAGAACATTTTGACCCGTCAATATTGAGATGAGGGCGCAGAGTGTGCATGGATGATATTGAGGACACTGAATATTGGGACTTAGATGGAAATAGGTGTTTTGGAAATAGATGAAATGTGTTGCAAGGAGCTACATATTGATTCTCAATATTTACTGGATTCAGTAGTCATTTGCTTCCACTTCATTTCAAAAGGTGGGAGGCTTTTTTTTAAACACCAACTGGCGATATGGCGATCATGGCATCTCAAAATCGCAGGGTCCAAATCCCCAGGCCTCTCCAATCTGAATCCCTTCAGTGCACAGCGCTAGCAGGAGAGTCCAGATGGGCATGGCCACGCCACGGCACCATTGGCGAATTCGATTCTCCAAAGCTTGGGCGACTTAGGAAAGGTTGGGATCTGACGAGTGGGTGAGTTGGTGGCACCTGGTTTGGTGAGCTAACGGTTACAACATGCGAAAACTGGCCGAAGTCTCAGGAAAGCATTCACTAGCAATAAACATCTCGAGGCACAGGAAAACTGCTGGCTGGTTGGGAGGGTTCCCAGTTGGTCCTGCTGGATTTGCCATGTTGGACTTGTGAAAAATCAGGTTCGGTCTCGGATCTGAAATGAACCAAGAGCATCCATAGGCGCAAAATTGCAGGAAGAGGAGGTGTGTGTGTTAATTACTCCCAAACAAATTTCCCTTCTTCGCTCACAACATGATCACCGGATTTTTTTGTTGCCAGAACATGACCAAAAAATGTGTTGAAAAAGAAGGAAGGCGCTACTGGCCTTCTGAAGTAAAGGAAATGCATGGGTTTTCCAATAGTCATTACGGAACAAAACATGGAAACACTGTGTGGCACTGCACCATGCAGCTTTAGATATTCATTCTATCTAAGCAACAAAAATCAATCGGAATTACGCAAAATTGCAAAATTACAACAATCATATCATGGCAACTCAATGCCCCCAAAAAGTGACCCAAAAATAGATGCTTAATGAGCCCTTATTGTATCCTTATTGTAGTTGTTGATTGTATTTTACTAGCCTCCAATACCCTCCAATTTTCCCACGGATTTTGCCGAGGTCTGTCGCAGTCGCCAGCTCCCCAGCGCTGCGTCGCGTCGGGTCGTCCCCAAACTTTCGAGCCGCCAAGGTGTGATGCCTTGCTGAAGGACCCCATGACACCCATGGAGGCATGGAAAACCACTACTACATATGAAAAAAAATGGTCCACCTTAAAACACAGACTGAAGACGTGCAACAAATCTGAGAAGTCAGGTTCAGAAAAGGTGGCAGCTGCCGATTCTGCTTGTATGACATATAACCAGAAATTATCAGATCACTATGTACTTCAAAACGCAATCTGGCTTAAGAATTTGCGATCGTATTTAAGAAATGTTCGAGAGTTTTGCTAGAAAAAATGTATGTTCTTCTTTTGTATACATGCATGCATATAATATCATATAATATCATATAATCATACATCTATATATATATCAGTTGTGAAAACACATCAAACATGTCAGGTGCATAATGATTTATATATGTATTATATATATATATCAGGTATTGTATCAAGCGTGTGTGTGTGTATATATATATATAATCACACATCAATCATATTCACATAGATTCATTGTATACATATCGCATGTGCATGTGTATCATGTGGAAATACTTTTTTTTAATGTGGGATCTTGCTACTGTTGTGATTTGTGGTTGGAAGGACTGCAAGCCACCAGAATCTGGTTTCAAGCATCCGATTTTGACAGGTTTCCACCTTTTTTCAACCAACGACTACTGTTTGCTGACGTCTGTAAGACTGATGTCTGTAAGACGTACAAACAGAACAACTTGATCCTCTTGAATACCACCTGTTGCCCTACGTTACTGGCCAACCAACAATGGCATCTAGAAGAGATTCTCCGTGAAGATGGGCCCATCGAAAGTTTGGCCCCGCTCAAACTGCTGGTGGTGACCAACTTCCTCGTCCCTGACACCCATGATTTTCACATGATTTTCACATGATTTTCACATGATTTTCACATGATTTTCACATGATTTTCACATGATTTTCACATGGGACACTGGACCACAACCAGAGTCAAACAATCATCACCCTATCAAGGGTCCTACATAGTGACCATCAGATGCTTCAAGGATGGCCCGGTGCTACAATCCACCGCTCTGTCCGATTCTCCGATTCCGCTCGCTGTGAGGCTGTAATCGCTGGCAGGTGCTACATCTACGTTTTGATGATACTTTTCTATACAGTATCTTCTGCATATCTCTTTATGTTTTTTTTTTATGAGTATCATAATTCTTTGTTTTCTATAGTTGCTGCACTTAAGAGCATGCTGCTTATTCGTACCCTAGAGACAGACCGGAGGATTCAGCATGGCTTCGCTCAGCCTGTGCAGTGCATCGAATTTGCTCAGTCCGAATTAGTCTGCAGCCTGGCAGTGACGACAACGACCGTCATGTCAGGGTCCAAAATCATCGAATGATCAGTTCGCAGTCGTGGCGGACTTCATTAGCCCTCAAGGTTTAGCACCAAGCTTTGACTGGCAATAGACAAATTGAATCAAATTGCTCAAGTGAATCCTTGAATATCATTGATCTTACTATTGACCAACAGCGCCTGCCATTCAACATGTTTCCTTACCATCATATCTTGGCCGAGAAAGAATGAATGCTTTCGGGAGCCAACACCACTGGCCCCATCGTTCGGAATGGTCACTCAACCTCTGCCCATGTTCCTCGTCAACCATCTTGATCAATCACATGGGTTTGTCTGCAAATGGGAGTCCTCATTAAATGGTTGTATCATCATTTTCCCGATCAAAACATGGGAATGACTCAAACATACTCAAACTTAAGCCCAACACATCTGTGAAATAATATACTAAACTGAATCATTCGCCCATCTGCGGTTGTCCATAAACCAATGGTTAGCCGGTGGCTTGGATACATGATGTTGGTCCATCCCAGCTTTCCCGAAGAAAATTCGTTGCCCGCTGCCTTTCCTTTACCATGGAAAATGGCCCCGTCGTTCGACGATGTACCTGTATGTACCTGTTGTAAAAACGTTTTTTTTTCCATAGCGAACTGTCACAGTAAACAGATTAATTGTGGGAAAAACATGGTAAAATGGGGGTTTCAGGGCGTATATGTTTGTATGTTGCTTGTTATGATTTTGTGTTGGCGTTCAATGTTTCATCTTCGCCTTTGATGTTTTTTCAGGTGGGGTGTTGGGGGTAATTTTGTTGCTAAAGTGATGTGTCAATGTTTGGTTCAGATGAGGGGGATAATTGTTTAGACTGTTGGGGTTTTCTGTTTGTGTTTGGGTGGGTGATTACTTCATAATATGTTTTGTTAAGATATTATGAATTAATCTTTTATGCTTTCCACTTTCCTATTCCATCCCACCAATGTTCAATTACTCTCATTTGTGATAAGCAAGGTTTATTTGTATCGTTCAGTTCATCCATCGCTATTGATAAAAGAGTTATGTTAATAATCATTGCGTTGAATTCGCCATCACGGTTGAGTTCCTTTCCACAATCAATGATGACTTTTTTATCAGTCAGGTTTTCATACATCTTTTTCATAATGTCAAAATTTACAAACATATATATCGTCATATCCTTTACCCCTTCCCCTGATTTCATCCTATCAATTACTTTCTTCCAAAACTTTTCTCCTTCCTCATCATCTGGTGAAGGCATAGGATGGCACTTTACAAAGTCTCTAATCTCTTCATCTTCTTTTTCTATTTGTTTTCTTTCCCAATCATCGTCCTCACTATCACTACCAAAGTCAGCATATATACCAATATTCCCTGTATCTATAACCTCAATTTTTGCTCTACTCATTTTCTCTTACTATATATAGATATTTTTTCTTTAAGTATTTATCACTTTTTGTAGGTGCTCTTTTATTTCTTCTATGTTCAAATATTTCTCATAACCGTTGAACAGTTCTTCAACATATTCACGCAAGAAAATTTCCAAAATGTTTTTTATCTTGAACTCCCTGTTTCTAAACATAAAAGTTCGTTCAACATTAGGAAACCACCAGCATCTTCGTTGCTTACTGTAATTGATGAAATTAAGGTCGTGAAAGTTCTTTAGAATATGATAAGTGTATTTCCAAGGGTTTTTGACATAAGACTTAATCGCTTGAAGATATATTTTATCCTTTTGAAATTCTACCTTCAGTTTATAGGTGTCCAATAAAGCATCTATTTCTCTCGTCATTACTCTTACATGTGTTCGGTCGGTGTTGGATAAATAGATAGGTGATTTTTCCATCCTTGTTTTAAAGAAATGTATTTGTTTTTCAACTCTTGTTAGTTCTTTCTCTTCAAAATGGTCAAAATGATAGTTGAATGTTATATATCTGCGTTCCTTATCATTCAACTCTTTACATTTTGAACAGTGAAGGTTGTAATCACATATCTCATCACAAATTCCAGCAGGAAAAATGTTGTTCAATAAAACCTTAATGTCAGTCATTTCTTTCTTACAACATCCACAGTTTTTATAAGTAAATAGCATCCTCTTACTATATATAGGTAATTTTTCTTTAAGTAGTTTTTTGGGGGCTCGTTCAGTTTTCGGGTTCGGGTTGGTTTTTATTTTCCCTTTCCTCCTCTTCCAGTTCTCTTATGACCATATCTATTTCACTCATTCCTTCGTTGGGGTCTTGTCCATTGGCGAGGTTTCTTAACCTCTCAAAATCCTTCACTTTGTGTCTTTCATTGGGTGGGAGGGTTTTGAGATGTTCCTTCAACTCTGTCAGGTCAAAGTATGTGTCTTCCTCCTCATCCTCATTTTCCAAAAACATTTCCATTCTTTGCTTTTCCATTTCCATAAGTTTGTTTTCCATATATTGGAATTTCATTTGCTTCTTGTAGCACTTGCCACACACATTCACGAAGGTTTTGAGCAAGTAGTTCCAATTAGGTTGGTTTCTATCGTTCAGGGTTATAACATCTGTCATTATACGACATCCACAGTCAAATTTAGTCATCTTATTTAGTCTTACTATATATAGGTATTTTTTCTTTAAGTATATTTTTTATTGTTGATAATTTTAAAAATCTAATATTATAATATATGGCAAGGAGACTATCAAGAGATGACATCATAAGCAATGTCTATTATAATCTTGAAACGGGCTTCGGTTCAATCAATGAGACCCTTAAGAAAGCCAAGGAGCAAGACCAGACCATCAACAGGGTGGATGTGGAAAACTTTATGAGGAAACAGCCCAACAAACAGATTAGAAAATACAGGGGGTCAAACTCCTACACCGCACCCTTCGCAAGGTTTGAATATC